CGTAGCACACAGTGGCCATTCAACATATACATCCTTGCCGGCTTGAATCGCAGGCTTAATGAGCTCATAGTGTGAGAAGACAGCAACAGCACAAACCACCAAATCGATGTTTTGCGAGGCACACATGGTTTGTGCGTTGTCGAAAGCCTTGGCAGACTTGAGACCGTATTGCTCGATGGCTCTTTTGCTAGTCTCAGCAGACGAGTTGCAGATAGCTCTGATGGTGTATTTGTTGGACTGCTGTAGGTAAGGCAAATGGGCCGTGGCGGCCCAGCCTCCATCCGCGGACAAGCCTATAATTCCAAGCCGAATGGGGGACATATCTCCTTCTCTTCTTGAGGGACGTTGATTTGTGTGCAGAGAATGAGGATAGGGACTAGGACTAGTAGCTAAGAGACTGAACTCCCGAAAGGAGTAAGGGCAGGATACTAATATTTAATGTATTTTATGCCTATCACTGACAGCACGATGAAATCAAAGTTAGACGTCTACTACGTCATGATGCGTTATGACAATTCTTGCTCCAAACTTCAAGTGAGGAGCGCACGCACTTGCCATAGCTAAGAAAGAGGAGAATTGGGTCATTTCATTTTTGCCCCACATTTCCGACCCCATGCGATAGATCCCCGAATATTCTCCATTCTTTCTCCAGTAGCCTGTAATACATCGACAAAACTCTAACTCGGCATTGGACTGGGCGTGCTAGACACACTCGAGTGTCTATATGCGGACTGCGAAAGGAATGCCTACCCGTACAGGTGCACGTCCGGGGCATGGGCATGTTGTAAAATGGCCTGGTCTAGGCGAGGTGACCTTTCAGTCAAGGCCAGGTTAGCTATGTTGGAATGGGAGATCTCATGTGTGTCTCGCTGGAAGTAATAGGAATCAATGAAAGGGGCTTGGTTGTAAAGCCCTCCGCGGATAATTCTGAAATGTGGGAGGGGAGTGGAGCATAAAGTATCCACTCAACCGATGTGGACCCTCGGATGATGTAGCTCAGGAAGGTTCTTGTAGGCTGTTGAGTTCCTCCACTTACCAATTCGCTCTGATTTTCAGAAACCACGCCAGAGATCATGACCCAGGAACAGGTACCAGAGGCCATGAAGGTGTTGAGGGTCGTGGAGGTATGTTGTCACCTCTAGTACACTCCAGTCGCGTAGCAAAGTCCACCAATCAGAACTCTAGCTGATCATCCGCAAGTACAACGAGGACTACCAACTTCGCAGTGATGTCCCTGTCCCGATCCCTGGTTCAGGCACCGCGTGGCAGCTGGATCCAGCAATACCGATGACCAACATATGGAACTCAGCAGCCATTCACCGGCTCTCATAAGCCGCGGGCACTATCGTCAAGGTTGGCTCTGATGTACCGGGCAATTGGGAGGTGAACGACCGCGTTAGTGTGCTCAACTATAAGAATCCATGCAATGAATGTAACGGATGCCGATGGCCAATGAAGACGTACAGCTCCTGGGATGCCCGGTATTCTGAGAGCTGACGGCGGCTTTGCTGATTACATGATCGCTTCACATTATATATATCAGTTATACGATATTTGAATATCATATTGATTTATTTTACAAGTGCGATATAATATATGTTGTGGTGTAGAATTGTAGAGATTTATTTGACATATTTACCAAAGTTGGAAGATTCCACTAACTTTACATAAAATTTCCTAAAACGGACGTATAATTCGCTAACTTAGCAGAATAAATGCTGTTATTTACACTTGTTTTATTAGCCCTCTTCTTCAACCATATTATGCCTATAATATTAGTGACACTAAAGAAGAAGAGTTTGAGAGTAGAGAGGTCGAACAAACTGGGATTTCTGATATTAATACTAAGGCTGATCCCCCACTTCCGGAATCAGATCATAGAAGCACCGAGTTACGGACGTCAGTGAGAGCTCGTAAGCGAATAAGATAGGACGATAGTGACTAGGCGTATCATTGAAAAAGATGCAGCATATATATGTAATAGAATCATTACCTGGATCACTATTTGAATCTATAAATTGCTAGTAATATATAAATTCAGATACTTGATATGTATATAGAATACCAAAAAGAACCACCTAGAACTACATAGATTATGTAGTCATGTAAAGGAAAAGCATTATGGAGGCGGAACCAAGATCTTGATGTGCATTTAACTTCTTTATCTCGAGCTTCTTTGAGGGTTGCCAAGGATTGACCATGTGATCATCCTGACAACTGCCAGTGTCCGAAAGAGGACCCGGAAGCTAGACAAATCATCGTGACGGACACGATTCAGGGACGAAGAGGTACAAGATGCCTCCCTGGGAAACTTGGACTTAGCAAGAATTAGTCTCTGCAAAAAGAATACCATACGTTTCTTCCCCCTGCTGTTCAACTCGCCTGACCAACAGGACTAGCCTGACAACTAGTATTTCTTTACAAGTCATGTGAATGTCACATCGTTACGATTTAATGCGTTTTAATGGGTTTAAATGGGGCCCATAGATTGGTTGGGTTTTGGGTTTCGTGGGTTTCGGCGCAACCTAAAGTAGTTATAGTTAGGTTAGAAGGGTTCGAGTGAATGCTTACCTTATTCGTCTTAGGTTTCTAACGTCGACGATGTATCTCTTTACCGTACTATTACTAACAGGCCTTCTATAGGGGGTCCTTTTAAGGGTATTAAGGAACGGTACTAGGTAGAGCGCCGAATTAATCTATACTAGAGTGTCAGTCAATTCGTGAGTATTATTAAGTTATAACTAAGTAAAGAGTCGTATAGTAATCAAAGGTAAATATCAGTAATAATATGGAATCAAAGGCGAAGAAATGAGCTAGATACATAAATAAGTGTCCTGATACATCCCTAAGTCCTTCCTATTATAGATAAGTAGATAGTAGGTTGGTAGAATTAGGCCTTGACAAGTGCAGCTGCACCTCTTGGCAGTGCAGCCAGGTGCTGCCAAGGCCAGATTTTGCCAAGAAATTACACTATTCGGCTTGATACCGCCGATCTGGTAACCAACAATGCCGTAATTTACATAAATTACATATATAAGTCACGGGATAAGCCGAATTAGGCAATGTTTGTATTGTTTATAGTGCAGCTGCACTACAGCCAAAGTACCGCTGCACCGAACTAAGGCCTTGGTGCAACCACTGCACCAGTGCCGCTGCACCGGTACCGCTGCACTTGTCAAGGCCTAGGTAGAATGCCTCCGTTCTACTACCTATATAGTCACGTGTCTTATTTCTCGAGTCCCCGGGGTGCCTGAAGCATAGGGCGTTTCACGTGCCTTTATAATAGATAGGTTGGTTGGCTCTCGATGGCCCATTTGTGTAACTGCGGGGTCATCGTCGGTTGGTAACTAGCATGCCCATAACAGTGTCGATTAGGAGACCGAAGCCCGGAAGCTTACGATTATCGGGCGGGAGTGTGCGGGATAGACTGTTATTGCTGTCCTGTATCGGTTAAGGCACATCGAGTGTTTGATAGCGTCGCGCTGATGCGGAATGGGGCTCTGGTGGAGTTTGATGCCCCTGCGGCATTGTTAGGGCGCGATTCGGAGTTTCGGGAGCTTTATACTACGGCCCTGAAATGAGTAATTTCCGAGCTAGTCAGACTGAAGTGACTTGTCATCTGTAGCAGGCATTGACATTTATTCGCGATTGGGTATGAAGGTCGGATCGAATCCCCTGAAATTCATTTAGAAAAGGATGAGGTAGATTGTATCTGTGGTATTGATTGATTATGGCGGTACTTCATTTAGGGCTATTTGTTCTTCCTCAACGCAGTGATAACCTAGCTCAACGTCTCGCTTGGGTTATTTGGAGCGTGAAATGTCGAAATGATGCTCTAGCAAGCAACCTTCAAGACTCGAACCCGTTCCCGTGACTCGTACTCTTTACAACTCAGAGGAGACATCAAGGCACCGGCAGTGCGAGTGTAGTAAACATCGTCGTTCGGGCAAACATGGTAAAGAATCCAATCGCTCGACCCTGGAACCGAATCCTTTGCCGCCAGGCAAGAAGAGATTTCCAAAGCACTAGGCGTCGGAGTAATGCCCTCGGAGAACACCGACAAGGCAGCTCCATATATGACCACTGCGGTGTCTGGGGAAGCTGTATTGACAGCGAGGGTCTGTGTCCGGGATTCATTAATAAGGTATTAAGAAGATGTCCGTTTTCAACGTACCAAAGTGGACCATTCGGGTGAAATGGAATCTCCGGACTTTACTATGCATAAGTTGTCTTTACTCGGGGCAGAAAACTCGTGCATCTCCCCAAGATACTTCTCCCAAGGCAGCTCTAGCGCGTGACTGAGGTTCTTGAACACCTCTTGAGAAATGCCGTGAAGTGACTTCATGACTTCGGTAATAGCATTAAAAGATGAATTGCAGGCCAATTCCATCTTGGATGTTTTGCGTCCCTAATGCGCAATGAGCCTGATTAGTTCCAACTCCGCGTTTCCAGGTCGAATACTGTTCACTTACCGGAGATGCATCGCCCAAGAGCTTGGATACTTTTGGGTCCAATGAGGGGATGTTGGTGATTTTTATGCCATTGCTTCTAAGAGCGCAGGTCTGACGGACTTTTGGTAACCCGGTGAAATCCCGTAGGGCCTCATACTCAATGGTTGACATTGTTAAGACTTGTATATTTGTCCAGTGCTGAGCTTGTCTGACAAAGGGAACGTATTTCGTACGAAATAGCCTCCAGTGAACGCCAATGCACTCGAATCTGATTAAATCCAGAAGACAGAATCATATTGTTGAATTGGGGAAAGTGGCGGGTGGGGTATAAATTAGTTAACTTCCCCAATGGATGTCGTTGGGGAAGATCAATTGGGGAAAGAAACCTCCAGTTTGGGAGATGAATGTTGACTGAAGATCAATTAATAATCTTCTCTTTACATCAGAAAACTGTGGCTTGAAGTTTTCAATCTAAGTTGGATCTCTGAGAATTTTTTATTTTTCGCAATTCATCTTCCACACCCTCCTTTTCACACGCAACAGGGCAAAATGGGATCACAAGGCGGAGAAGTTGAGCATCTGCTCAGCCCATTGAAAATGCCGGAGTTCACACTCAAAAACCGAGTGGTGATGGCCTCATTGACTCGCAATCGAGACAATGTTCCTCGGGAGAATCTCCATGTTCCTTATTATAAGGAGCGGGCTGGTACAGGATTGATCGTAAGTTGAAAGATTTCTGTGAAATGCCCCTCCAAATGCGGTTCATTTACCATAAATTTAAATTCGCTAACATTGATTGATTGAGTAGATATCCGAGGCTGCTTTAATTTGCCCTCAAGGGGTGGAATGGACTTTCATGCCAGGAATCTACTCGCAGGAGCACGTAGAAGGATGGAAAAAGGTCACCCAGGCTGTTCATGACAAAGGCGGATTGATCTTCTGTCAACTGCATCATGTCGGTCGTGTAGCCCATCCAGGTACTCGAGTCCAGCGTGCAGCGGGCGAGCCTGTTTTTGGTCCTTCAGCAGTGGCCGCAAGAGGCGGAAAGTTCCGCAATGTGCCAGGAGGCCCAGGCTACGTGACGCCAACTCCAATTGAAGACCCTGAAAAGATCATCGAGCTCTATGGCAATGCGGCGCGGCTTGCAAAGGAGTCCGGCTTTGATGGAGTCGAGATTCACAATGCAAATGGCTATCTTCCAATGCAGTTCCTCGAATCCCACAGCAATCGTCGAACAGATAAATGGGGCGGATCGATTGAAAACCGGATGCGATTTTCGCTATCCTGTCTGGCCAAATTGAACGAACATTTCCCATATGGTCGCATTGGTGTCAAAATCGCCCCATGCGGTGGCTACAACGACATGGGCGAGATGAACGCTGAGGGTCGACCGTGTGCCGAAGCGTCCAAGAGAACTTACGGTCCTTTTTGCGCCAAGTTGGATACTTTGGGACTTGCATACGTTCAGGTAATGCGTTGGTGGTCCGCATACGATCTGATGATTGATGGAAAACCTCGCGGAGTTGAGTGGGATCCAATCGGCTACCTTCGTCCAATTCTCAAGGACACTCTGCTCTTCGGAAATACTGCTTTCACTCCATCCGAGGCAGATGACTGGATTCGAAGAGGTCTTATAGATGCTGTGGTAATTGGACGACCATTGATCTATAACCCCGACTATGTGGAGAAGATTCAGGCTGGAAAAGTCAGTGATCTATATGAGGAGCAACCTGGAGATGAGCATTGGTGGTAGTAAGTATCTTTCAATTCTGAAGCTCTGTCATTTTCTTTGCTAACCGCCCTTGATGTAGCAAATGGCGCAACAACGACAAGCGGGATGGCTACTTGAACTGGGCTCAAAGAACAATCATACCTGAATCCTTGGCGGTGAAAGATCGACGTAGTTTGATTCATGACTAGGCGATACGGCCGGCTCTTTGATTGATTCGAGTATGCTTATGAAAGCCGCTTAAACATCCTTTGCCTCAATCTGCTTCTTCGGCTTGGATTCGCTCTGTTCTTATTAATCAACCACAACCTTGAAACAACAGCGACCGAAGCTTTGTATATTTGCACTCAAATGACATAGACGTGACAATCTATTCTGCAATGCCCCAGCTATATTTGAACCTTGGTAGATCGAAAGCATTTCTCACTAAAGATGGAATTAATTGACCAGTGAAATCGCTTTGTCCTTCCTTTTCAACCGGTGTATAAACATGCTTGTCTAAGGAAGTGGATCTCAATCCACACTGCGACACCAAATACACAGTGTCGACTTTCGCACGTGTATCACAAACTCAAACAACACAACCAATGTGATTCTATCTACTGCGTGGGATTTCTTGATAAAAAAGAAAAGAACTCTATTGGTATATCACAGGCAACCTGGGAAGAATTTTCCCAGCTTCTTGGCCTCTCTATCCCAGGCAGCGTCATGAGCAAAAATAACTTCGACATTGCCGAGCTCACCGGGATTTTCCATAGTTTCTCGGATAGTCGCGATTGTTCTTTCAGCCGCTGCCTTGTTGACATGAATACAGCAAATACTTGTTGGATAAGCCGGGTCGATCCAAGTTGCAATGTTCTTCTCTCCAGTCAGCAACCTCGGGTCATGACAAGCATCACCAGCAAGATAGACGTATTGATCCTCAGACTTGCGACAGAGAAGGTTGATATGCCCGTCAAGATGACCCGGGGCAGAGATAATGTATAAACTTCCATCGCCAAAAACGTCCATGCTGTGTTGGAAAAGCCCCTTTGAGCGCCAGACATTGGAGAAGAGACTGCTGCGCTTTCGGCTCTCGGGCTCCAGCTTTGCATTATCTTTAAAAGGGGGTGGTGTACTGGGAAGCTCCGGACTAGGTAGCTCAATAGTCCGCGAGAGATCGAGTATGCCTTTCTCAAAATGACTATGGCTGCCGTTGCTGAGTTCTCGGGTCCCGTTGACCAGGCTGGCTGCACCAGGACCGACCACATATGTGGAATTTGGGTAGTCTGATGGAGCTCCGATGTGATCCCAATGCAGGTGACTGAAGATGACAAAGTCTATATCTGATGGGGTCAGTCCCCCATGTGCTAGTGATGCGACCGTGCCTGGCTCGCCAGACAGTGGGCGGCGGGTCATGGCGTGGTCATAAAGAGGCTTTGCATAGTCGGACAGATTTGGTCGAATACCCAAGTCAAACACGATGCGGGTTGTCTTGAGACTAACGGGGTGCGTATGCTGGATCAGGAACGATAGCGATGGCACTGTGGTTCGGGACGTGTTGTCTTCAAGGGGTGTCACGAAGAATGCTTCGGGGAGAGTGAGATACCCTGCCTGCAGAGCGTGAATTGAAAAATGAGCTTGTGGTATCATTGTATTTTGATGAGGGAACCTGAAGTAAGAGCGTTTGAGACGTGTGCCTCGGTTAGGTTGCGGTCCATATAAGACTTCCTTTTTCAGCCGCTCTTGATCCAGCCAGTTTCGACATGGGTCGTCACCCAAGGTGGGTTGGAGAGCTCCCCACCCCCAGAGAACAATTGATATTAGGATTAGATCAATCCCACTCAAGTCATCATAGAAGATTGGGGTTGTGGGGAAAATTGGGGGTGGGGGAACATTTGCCTTCGTCTCCCCCATACCCAAGTCAGCATGAATTTAGTTATAAACTTGGCATACTGATCTGATCCCGTTTTTTGTTTCTATTTAAACTTTGTGGTATTTCGTGGGTATTTCGTGAAATTTAAGCTTGGTTGGGGAATAGATTACTTAGTAGCAAATCTGCCTAGTATTCATCGGCCATTCTTTGGGGAGCACCGTAAGTGATAGTACATATATCTTCTAGTAGACAATCCATGATGCAGAATGACACTGCATAGTCCCTCTGCCTAATTAGCTTTGGTTTACACATACGTGGCAGCAGGAATAACAGATCCTTCCAACTTGAAAGACCTATATAGCCCCTGCAGGAGGTCGATCTGTGCGTTGAATTGGCCAAAACCAAACACAGAACTCAGCCACAGATCGCTGACTTTGGGTCAGGCAAAATGGAAAGAATTAGCGGCAATGAGCTCACTATGTGCTCAGCTATTTCCCCAGATAACCCACAGTTACCCCGGTCCGATCGCATTCCATATGGAGAAATAAGGTTCTTTGGGGAATATCAGCTTCCATGCTTGGCTCTCTAAGCTATCCCCATTATTCTCCCCAAGATCCATCTGACTAACTTATATCGCTTAGTTCTGGTCGACTTATTTGTTCCCCTTCGATTCCGGCTAGTGTGTGAATTCCATTTTCACCATCTATTCACGGTCGTACCTTATATCAACTCTAAAACTATCGGAAAAACGCCTTCTTCTCCTATTTCCAAAATAATGGGTGCTGGCAATCGATTCAATTTTACAATTGTCTTTTTTGTTGCTCTTGGATCCTTCACATACGGCTTCAACTCTGCAGTCATTGGCTCTGTTCTCGGTCTGCCGTCTTTCCTGAACTATTTTGGTCTCAACACAAACGGCCCAGATCCCGAAAGAGCCGGTTCATTGACTGGTGGTAAGCTCGCCTTTCTGCACATCTGAATCTGAAACTAGTTCAAGATACTAATAAGCTCGTTGAAGCCACAAATGGACTCTTTGCGGGAGGTGGTATCATCGGATGCCTAGTCGTTCCTTGGCTTCTAAATGCCCTGGGACGTCGTTTGACAATTCAGCTAATCTCTTTCGTCTGCGTCATCTCTGCCGCTATACAGGTGGGGTCCGTCCACATTGCCATGTTTTTGGTAGGAAGATTCATCAATGGAGTCGGTGTGGGCATGATGGATGTCTCGGTTCCAATTTATCAGTCAGAGATCTCACCAGCCACCTCTCGAGGACGAATGGTCGGATCCCATGGCTTCCTGGTGGTTGTCGGATATGTAAGCAGGGATGCCCCCAGGCATGTTCGAGTTGTTCTAATCCATTCTGTTCATCTAGGCCCTCGCAGGATGGTCTGGTTATGGTTGCTTCTTCATCACAGACACAGTTTTACAGTGGCGCCTATGCCTTGCCTTCCAGATAATTGCTCCTTTGCTTCTTCTCATTGGCTCCCCGTGTATGCCTGAATCTCCTCGATGGCTATGCACAAAGGATCGAAATGATGCGGCCTTCGAGATTCTTTGCAAACTGCATGGTTCACCGGGAGATCTGGATAATTCCCTGGCACGGCACGAATACGACCAAATCTGTCTCCAAACCCGACTCGAAGTTCACAGACCAGAAGGATCTGGCTGGAAAGCAGTCTTCACGAAAAATTCTTTCCGCAAAAGGCTTCTTCTCGGGTTTTTCGTTCAGTATGTCTTCAAACACAGAATTCAGTTGTATGAAAGCTGACATCGAATGTTTATAGATGTGTCTCTCAGTCTACCGGTGTACTAGTTGTGAACAACTACCAAATCATGCTGTATAACGGTCTAGGTCTCGAAAATTCGTTACCTCTACTACTCTACGCTTGCTACAATTCGTGGGCTGCCTTCATGAACTTCGTTAACACATTGATCTTGGACCGATGGGGACGGATCCGCATCATGCTGATAGGAATGATCGGTTGCTCACTTTCTCTATCCGGATTTGCCGCAATGGTTGCCGAATTCAGTGGAACATCGAACAAGATTGGGAACGGCTTTGGCGTTTTCTTCCTATACCTCTTTGTCACATTCTATGGTGGTAGCATGGATGCATCATCCTACGTCTACTGTGCTGAGATCTTCCCCACGTCCATCAGGGCCCAGGGAGTTGGGGTAAGCGTGTCAGGGTTATTCATCATGACTTTGATCTACACTCAAGCAGGCCCTGTGGCATTTAAAAATGTTGGCTGGAAGTATTATCTGGTCTTCATCATAATCCCCTGGTTTGGTGCGGTTTTGATGAAGAAGTTTTGTCCGGAGACTGCAGGTCTGTCGTTGGAGGAGATTGACGAGCTCTTTGGAGACCGCACAAATACCGAAATCGTTACCACGAAGGAGGAGTCCGAAAAGGGACGTTCATTGGAAGATGAGAAGCTACGATTGGGGACATCTGGTAGCTCCACGGAACACCACGAACAAGTGTAAAGTCCATAATTTGAATGAACGGAAAGCTGATGCAGAAATATTTGGTCGCTGAGCTATTACTGAGTATGCAGTTTTAAGCTGGCTTATATGAAGTTCTGGTTATACATGTAGTATTTGTGGACATTTCATTACAGTTCAATCGCAAAGGATGCATACTAGATGATAATTAATGCTTAGCTTATTAATGTTACAATGTACGACCTTAGAAGGCTCCCTAAAATGCGTTCCAATGTTAAAAGCAGTTTATATCAGACAAGAATTATTGTTAAACCAATAACGCGGAGCTTAATTGCTGAAAAATCTACCAGTAAGCTGCTGGGGGCCTTCATTCAAATACACAATATGCCAATACTGCACATTTACAAATCGATGCAGACCTTGCCGATGTGCTGGCCACTGGGAAGATAGTTCAATGCCCCAATCACCTTATCACGATCGAACTTGAAAGTCTTCTCGACTCCAACAGAAAGTGTGTACCAATGGACCGAGTCACATCCTCCATTTGCTGCTTTGAGCCAACCATAATACCACAAACGACAGCTCCCTTGGCTAAAGAAAGACCAGCAACATCAGACATCTCCTCTTGCTTAGCAGCAGAGAGGAATCCGATCACTGAGGTCACACCACCATAAGCAATGGCGTCAAAGGATTGCTTGATAGTTCCCGAACCACCATTTCCCAAAATGAAGTCGACGCCCAGTCCACCAGTGGTATTTTGAGCCTCGGCAGCCCAGTTAGGGGTCTTCTTGTAGTTGATGGTGTAGTCAACGTCGTACTCGGCCTTCATATGCTGGAGCTTCTCATCGGAAGAAGGTGGGATAATTGTCTTAGCACCTGCAGCCTTTGCCAACATAGGACCGGTGATAGATACCCCACCCGTGCCTGGGAAATGAGATTAGCATTTGTTCCATTCTTAAATAATGTGAAGGGTTGTGGACTCATGCTGGAACAGAACGGTCTGTCCTGGCTTCAAGGGGTTGTTTCGATACGACGAGTTCCAGGCCGTAGTACCTGTGCAAACAACACAACACTAGCCCACTGAGCATAGCTGAGAGTTGAGCTTTTAGGAATCATCACGACAGCCTGGGCAGGAACTGAGATATATTCCCCCAAAACACCGTCCACGGGGCCACCCAAGCCGTTGCCCCAGTTCTTAATCAGCCGTATAATGTAGTGGGGTCAGGGGCGACAATGACTTTATCGCGACTCTTGAACCCAGACACTCCCTAGCCTGTCTCAACAACGTTGCTGGCGGCATCCGAACCAGGGACAACGTTCTTGACAGGGAACGGATATTTACCGGTTGCGACGGCAATGTCGCGGAAGTTCAGTGCCACAATTTTGACTGCAATGAGTACCTTATGCTTGTCACTGAAGGAATCGGCTCTTTGAAGTGGGCAAGGTTCTCCCAGGAGCCCTGGGAGGTGAGTCGGATGACGTTTTGGGTAGAAACTTTCGGGATATCGCAATGTACAGTAGAATTGATTTGAATATTTGAACGTATGAAGGACTTCAGTCAGTTAACCTTGCTTTTACAAGGTACTGACTTTTACTCCAGGTGAACTTCTACGTCGCATGTAATCATTGACGTCAACTTTGACCCGGGGAAGTTGCCCAAAGTCGCCGTGAGGGGTAGAAATTCAGAGGCTCAAAAAGTCTCCGATATTTCGAATTTCTCTCCCAACATGGACAAATCTATCCGGACAGTAGCATTCAGAGTACGTATGTTTCACCTTAAAATCTACGTTTTGATGGTGTCAGGTCCAACTATTGACACTGGCTAAGCTCTGTTCACTATTTGTACAGCTCATGGCTTAGGGCTTGACAACTTGAGATCAGGCCGATTCGGAAAGTAATCTGGAAACATTGATGGACATAATAAGCATTACTGGTGAGCTTGGCATGACTATACACACCAAGTTTTGGTTCGATCAATACCAGCTACAATTGTTCACTTTATATGTACTTGAGAATTATACCCAGTTATGGTGAGGACGGATATATTATGGCTTGATTCATTCGTTCACGTTTGTAAGATATATGTTATAATATATATTGGAAATGATATCTTGTCACCGGTGCCATCAACTTAACTACTGGTTAAAGAAATTTTGGTTTTGTTTCAGCTCCTACGTACAACCTGGTGCCTCAGATTTGTCGCCACCTTAGTCAATGTGTACATACTGGGGTCGGAATATGTTAGAAAGGTTAAATCAGACGCACTTTAATATACTCATATCAAATAAGAGAATTTTCTGAAAAGTATAGTATACCAGGAAGTGTCGAGAGAAATCACATTGAAAATATTTCTCTACGCACTGCCCGAAGCTCAATATTACCCAACAGCGACGATATCTCGTGCGACCCCTTGGCAAAAAGTTCGAATATCCGAAATAGATAGCTAAATTATTCAATTTACGCAGGGTATCTGCGGTACGTCCCCAAAGAACGGCTGTGGGGGAATTGGGGTATTCCCCACCGAGAAGTTGGCTGGAGGCGTGAGTTGTGTTGAACTCAATTTCTAATAGAGTGAGCGTGGGGAGAAAGCAGATTCTATGTAGAAATCAGAATTTGGGGATATCTGAGCATCATATGTTTCGTCATATATAGAAGTAGTGATCTCCGTGCTATTCCCTCAACGTGAGATAACCACCCTAATCATTCCAAGCTTCTGACGAGGAATTACATACCCAAGATGCGGACCGTGTTTCCCACAAACCTTTTAGATCCTTTTCTTCTGATCAAAAATGGTCTGGTCGCAGGGAGCTTTCGCTCGTCAGGCTCCAAAAAGGAATTTCTAGTCTATGAGCCATCTACGGGAAACGTGCTTCAGAGCTGCGCAGATATGACAAAAGAAGACTTCATTGAGGCCATCGAGAGCGCCCATAAAGGCTTTGAACTTTTTTCCACAACTACAACTGCCAAAGCACGTGGGGAAATTTTGAGGAAGTGGTATGAGCTGATTTTGCAGCACAAGGATGACCGTACGTACGGCGCTTTTCAGGAGATATTCAGTTTTGACTCATTTAATTTTCTATTCCAGTTGCCAAGATACTTTCTTTGGAGAATGGAAAGACCCTGGCGGAGGCTCAAGGCGAGATTGGCTACTGCGCGTCCTTCGTTTCCTGGTTTGCAGAGGAAGCAACTCGATCCTACGGCGATACAATCCCCTCGTCTACTGCAACCGACTCCACTATTATTACATTCAAGGAGCCTGTTGGTCCATGTGCAATTATAACACCGTGGAACTTCCCCGCTGCCATGATAACCCGGAAGATTGCCCCTGCCTTCGCCGCAGGTTGCTCTGTCGTTATAAAGCCACCCAGTGAGACTCCATTCAGCGCACTAGCATTGGCAAAGCTTGCCCTCCAAGCAGGAGTTCCAAAAGACTGCATTCATGTCTTGCCTACCAAAGACCACCAAGCTTCTCAGGAATTGATCACCCACCCGATGATCAAAAAGGTCAGCTTCACCGGTTCTACAGGGGTTGGAAAGCTCCTAACAAAGCAAGCTGCGGGAACAATGAAAAGAGTCAGTATGGAGCTTGGAGGAAATGCCCCATTCATTGTCTTTGACGATGCAGACCTTGATCTAGCCGTTGATGGTGCTATGATATGCAAGTTCCGTTGCTCGGGCCAAACGTGCATTGTAAGTACTGCTGTTCGGAAAGCCGTAAATCTTCCAATCATCTTGGATTCAGCTGACATGACCTTATAGTGCGCCAATCGCCTGCTGGTTCATGAGTCAGTTGTGGATAAGTTCACAGCCAAGCTATGTGCTAAGGTGCAGGCCCTCCGCCTAGGACGAGGAATTGACCACGGCACTACCCAAGGACCTCTTGTAAACACCACTGCCGTGGCGAAAATTGACGCCCACGTAAAGGATGCTCTAGAAAAGGGAGCCATCTTACACACTGGGGGCAAAAAGCCCGCTGGACTTACTGGCTACTTCTATGAGCCAACGGTATTGACTGGTGTTACCACCAATATGAAAGTGGCCAGAGATGAGACCTTTGGTCCTCTGGCGCCAATTTTCTCATTTTCTACTGAGGCTGAAGCAATAGCCATGTCCAACGACACCGAATTTGGGCTTGCGGGCTATTTCTTCAGCAACGACATCAGCCGCGTTATGCGTGTGGGTAGACAGCTACAGTGCGGTATGATCGGAGTCAACACCGGAGTCATAAGTGCAGCAGAGGCTCCCTTTGGAGGTGTGAAGGAAAGTGGTGTTGGAAGAGAAGGGAGCAAGTATGGGCTGGCTGAGTACCAGAGCATCAAGTCAATTACCATCGGTAATACTCGTTTTAGGACTTGAGTGCACTAGTAGATACGAAAATATCTTCATAGCCCAGATATTAAAACTTCGATGGAACAAAAGTCACATACTGCGAGCGTATTGGATACAGTTGAATTTCCCCCAAGGTCTAATTCCCCGCGGGGGATACTGTGGAGTATGTGGCGTTGAAATTCCCCAAAGACCCGGGAAATTTTCATATTCTCCCCAAATTTAGCCTTTGGATTTTCAGTTGAAAACATAGGGGTTTGGGATTCGTATTCGTGCCCAAGGCCCACTTGTTCCCCTGCCCCAGTCCACTTCTCTTCCTAGAAGACGCTGCTACGCAGGGTGTTTTTTCGTTTAGAAGCAAATATTAGCCCACTAAAGGCGAACACAAAGTCTCAAACCCAAGTCAATACCGCTCACAATGTCATTCAGTCATGATCGATCTCCTGGTGTTCAGGTACCCCCGTCGAATCACTGTGTTCAGGTACGCGCTGTGAACACCACGACCCGAATGGTTTGTGATGCTGAAGCATTCGTTCAACCTGTCATGCGAAACCATACTAAGCTGAACTTTCCCACTCTGTGCTTCCTCTTGGAACGTCACACAACAAATGGTATTCGCTACGTTCTATACGACCTTGGCGCCCGCAAGGACTACTGGAATGGAAGCCCAATATCAAAGTCAATGATTGGGAAACATGTTCCTGGTCTCGAGGTAGAAAAGGGAGTGCAAGATGTCTTGCGCGACAACGGTATCGATCTTAACCGTATAGGTATGTTTGATTGAAGGCAAATCTACCTCATTCCTCTTTTCGTGATAACACTGACACCTGTTACAGACGCCATTGTATGGAGCCATTGGCACTGGGATCATATCGGTGATGCTTCAAAATTTCCCGACTCTGTTGATCTTGTCGTGGGCCCTGGATTTAAAGAAAGCTTCTTGCCTGGTTGGCCGGAAAATCCGCATTCTCCCCTCCTCACGAAGGATTTAGCGTATGTTACTTCTGTGCTTTTGCCTGTGAACTTCCAATGACAAAAGGCTTACCAACGCTTTAGAGGCCATAAGATCCATGAGCCGGAATTTCCATTAATAATCGGCGGGTTTCGAGCTCACGACTACTTCGGAGATGGGTCCTTCTATATTCTGGATGTTCCCGGGGTATGATGTCCCCTGCCATCCAGAGATGTAAAATAAGTAGAAGAGATTGACTCATTCTCGAAATTTTAGCATGCCATTGGAAACGTCTGTGGCCTCGCACGCACAACCCCAACAACATTTGTCTTTCTCGGCGGTGATTGTTGCCACTTTGCAGGTGCTTTCCGTCCATCACCAAGCTATCCCATGCCAGAACACTTGACCGGTTCTGGTCTCGACATAACTTTCCCTCGGCCTTGCCCATGCAGCCTGTTCACCGAACTTCATCCCATTGCCAGAAATACGGAAGTTGCTCGCTCGCAACCATTCTACGAGGTCTCACGCGCCAGTGGGAGTGCATACACGTCCGGTGATGACGCGCAGGAGAGTATCAACAGACTGCAGCCATTCGACGCCGATTCCAATGTGTTCATTCTGTTGGCTCATGATTCCGTCTTGTGCGATGTTTTGCCACTGTTCAACGACTATCCTGATCTTGATATTAATGACTGGCAGCAGAAGGGCTACAAAGGCCAAACCCACTGGGGATTTTTGAACGAGTTGCCTCGGAATGGCCGCCCCGGCAGGAAACCACTTGTTGATGGGCTTCGCCGCAATGGTAGAATACTTGTGTATGGTGATGATGGTGATTTTCATGAGCAGTCTGTGGAAGTCGATAAGCCTCATTGCGAACACTTGGAGAGCCCTTCGGGGAAACGAGAGGTTGGGGTTCGCTCACGGGTGTAATAGAAATACAAGTCCATTGGTGTGAATACGACTTTTTTTGTTTTTTGACAGTAGCCTGTCAACTGCCTCCGCCTAAATAAGCGCTATAATATTGACACGCATGCTCTCGTCTAAAGTATCTGTCGCTTCAATACTTTCTGCGGTATGATACTAATTAAACATAGTCTTGAGTAAAGCTGCTAGGTAGGAACACGAGGCGGGGGCAGTTGAGATTCTAAAATATCAGCAACGGTAGACAAGGAAGCCCCGATACGATGAACAATATTGAAAACATGGGTGGCACTGGATATTTCCGCCCAAAGTCGAGCGGTTGAAGCTGCGAGACGATTAATCCGAGTTGAAATATCCTCCTGATCTTCCAACGTCCCTTCAAGATTTGTCTCTTGAATTAGACTCGTTATCATAGCAAGCAGCAGCTTCTGCTCATCTCCGCGCAGCGCTGTCATTCCGCCGACACTGACAGCTTTAGCAATATCTTGCATCCATCTAGTCAAGAGGAACGCGCATTCCAGGCTGCATATCGAGTGTTGAATGCTCCAGTGCAGAGTTTGGGTCCGTGCCAAGTATGGAATGCCGACACGGACCGGAATGCTGAGAGCGTGAATGCACTGTAGGACAGCACGATCCAATGACGGAGAGTGAGAAAGGCATACTGTGTCGGTGCTAGTGAATATTTGTTGGATGCGAGCTGAATTGCCAGCGATGAGGTCACGGCAAGGCCCTAGATTGGCATTAAGTCAGATATACGCCAGTCGTAGCAATGCCGTTGCATTGAACCCAAGGGGGCCCTTGGGTGAACAAGGATCAAGTGTTGATTCGTACGTGGCCTCCCATGAGGATTGCCAAGATCGTAACGCCGTCTCCATTAGCTTTAGTAACTGCGGGCGCATCGAAGAACCATCTTGAGGAAGACAAGTTACGGTTTGGTGCTCAAGGTTGATCTTCTGGACAAGACCGTGTATGAGTACATAGTTCGAGAAAGCCGAAATGGCAGCATAATCGGATACACTGCGGCCCTGGAGTAGACGATCCAATGTTACTGTGAAAGCGTGTTCACGGTAAGAGTGACCTTGGCGATACCGTTGCCAGCCTGCCTGTGAACTGACCTTCCATTCTGCCTCGCAAGATGGAAGACAGAGTGCCACTTCTTGACTAGGAATCAGCGGTGGAACATTGTAAGCGATGCTGTGGAGATTAAAGAGGATATATGCGACGAGCAAGGTAAGTCTCCGTTGCTGGTGCATGGCCCAGGATGTCCATGTCAAGTTCATATCGGCCGTATCATCTAGCTGGTTGATCCCTATTTCCCGTACAAGCACCGCAAGCTGACTTCCCATCGCTAGACTGTCTTGCACAAGCGGCTGTTCACCCCAAGCACTCATGGCCATGAGAATGATGAGTGCCTGAGCCCTTTGTAGACATATTTGCGAATCTTGCTCATCGCGGTTGTTGCAACTTCCAGCTGACTGGGGCTCATGCAAAGTCTTTGATGGAGAATATGAATTCCCTCTTATATCAATAGAAGCTGGGGAGCCAACTGTCATGCTCACCATCGTGCGGCGCCGGCGGTTGGAAAAGCTTCGTTCCACGAGACATCGGGCAGCATCATACAATTGATAGCCATTGACGTGTTCGAACCGATATAATGCCCCGCACGCGGCCAGGGAAAGAAATAGCTCAAGCTCGATATTTTGCGGGTCGAATATAACCGGATGAAGAAAAGGCACGTGGCCATGGAACCCACAAAAGTATCCTTCGACGTAACGAATGAGTGTGAATTTGGACGGAAGTTTGAAGTCAGATAGAATCGACTTGTTCTGCGCCACCTTTTCTGAAATTTGTTTATATGCCGCGGACGACAGGATCCAAGGACATCCCACAATATCTGATTCTGCATCAAGATTGCTATTGTGCAACTGATCATTAGTTGAAGGGAATCGTGGAGGAAGAGGCGGGTTCTTGGGGGCTGGTGGCTCTGCCGGTGTCAAAGGCTGGAGCTCGTGAGGCAGGGTAAGCCCTACCAAATCTGACGTAGATCGGAAATCACCCTGATGTGCTGGCTGGTCTTGTGGGGGAATTGCTGGAAAAGATCACAAAGCGAGATATCGGTGTCCAGAAAATGAGACGGGACGACATTGTTGAATGAGAAGACATCAGTATTCCAGGGATCCAGCTCATTTAGCTGACCAGCGCCAAGACCCATCTGGTAGTAGGAATCATCAATATTAGATGTACCAGCAGGAACATACGTTTCGGGGGAGAGCAGATCTGCGTTCTGGGACTCCACGGCGGATCTGTTGTAGATTGGACTCTCCCGAAAACTTGTGTGTTGGTCTGGTGTCAAACCTCTATGCTGTATCGGAACATTGAGGGTGTTATTGTCCAGTTGGGGGTGATTTGCCTCATCCGCTGTAGTCGGTTCTTCAACACCAGCGAGTGAGTGGCACAGTCGTTCGTGGCGACTTAGAAGATCCCTTTGAGAAAAAATTAACTGTTTGAGCCAAGGTTTACAGGTTTAAACGTACTGTCTAGAGAGCCGCATTGACAAGCAAATGGCTTCTCCCGGGTATCTGTGGTCAGGTCAGTATGCAGAAGGGAAATCAGCGAAGGGGGGTGGGGGTACGGACGGATACGCTCATGTCTCTGTAGGTGCTCTAAGCGCTTGAATTCTTTCTTGCAGAAGCGGCATGGGGCCACCTGCGATTTTGGCCTCCCTCCAGGCATGATCGAGGGGTGTTAATGAGCGGGGGGCGTATGGAGATGATAATGATGTATTTTCCTCTCCAACGGATTACATAATCCATTTGCCCCAAACTTTGGAAGATGACGTGAACATCTACACTTATTCCAAGCTTGCTACCGCTTCGGTGCTCTTAACCTCGAGCATAGTTCAAATATTTGAACTAAAGCCGAAGAGATGACAGCACTTGGGTTATTAAGGTCTCCCAGGGATGATGATTGACCACGACGAACTAATAACATACAATTCGACGCTGATATTGGGAAATGATCAATTCTATGGACTTTTATGTAACAAACAATAGATAGCAATGGATTTGGAGAGACTCCAACCTTTTGCACATCATATAGCAGCCTGTACTAGTCCATATGTCTACCACTTCGCGGTGAAGTTGGACCTTTTCCGCAAACTCTCACCAAAAATATACAGGTGGTAAATTCTACCAGTACAACCAATGGTCAGTCCAGCCAAAGAGAAATAGCCCAATCGGAGAACCAAAGCAAGGAATTAATGCAGGTTTGAGCACATTCTTAACCTTGCCCATCTTGCCGCCGCGAATTCGAGGGATAAACATAGTGTGGATATAGGTGTTGTAGATGATCAAGGATATAGCTGTTCCAACAATGATAGCGAGAAAGGCGCAGCCCATTTTTCCCTGATTGAATCCATATATACCCTGGTAAACAATTGGAAACGCCTCGAAGAACGAGTCGTATGTTCCATATGTCAACGAGGTATACGTTGGCGAAGAGAATTGCCCGGTCGAGCAATGTGATTCACATTGGGATCAGGAGTGATTCGGTCACAATATCCCGAATGAGACATTTGCTCGAGCAATCTCGGAGGCGGATCGGTAGGTTCTCGAGTGGTCGACCTTGTTGAGACGCTGAGACCTTTGATAAAGGATGGCATTGGAGCTTGTTTCTGGTAGAAAAAGCGCTCTTCCACTTTCTATCCAGATCATTCATATACATTTCCCAATATGACGTCAGTCACGTAGGCCGAGTAGTGTAATTGATCCTATAGCACTATTTGTTAGGTACGAAGTTTATACCATTACCGGTGCCGCAGCGATGAGTATCTCCCACATAGAAAACCGCCATCCTAGAACAAGAATTGCGAACCCAGCTACTAAAGGACCTAGAGCTGGTGCACAATATGCTTACAGAACCCAGGCAGTCATCGGATGTGGCAAAAGGGTTGGCGAGTATACGTCGCCAATACTACCTCCCCAGTGTCCAATCAGAGACTTCCAAAGAATCCCTGGAGAAATCCCAGGAAATAGAACCCAATAGGATTCTGGACAATGGCAGTAGAAATGCTGATGATGCAAAAAAGGGCAAAAGAAACAACGTAGGGTGGGTTGCGGCCGATCCGGGGGATTTCGCTGAGGGGGCCTGTACCATATCCGAGACTGGTAAAGGCTAGTGTATCTGATCAAAGGATGTAGCCCAAGATGGAGTGACAGGGTACCCAACATGTACAGGGCGAGCCCAAGAGAGGCTTCGGCCTGGTTAACACCAAACTCACTCCGAAATGCCTCCACACTGGGCTTGTATACGTATATGGGGCTGCCATATACACCACGAAGGTGTAAAGCCCAATCAGAGACATAATGCATGCTCTTTTTCAGCTGTGACCAGCTCATGCAATTATCAGAGCCCTCTGCTGAGTACCAATCAACAGGAACTACGTCGTTCTCGATTTGCTGGAACGGATACTCTGGGTGACACACTTTCCGAATGATTGTGTCTTCAAGCTCGTGATTATGGCTTGTGAGTCGAGTAACATCATTTCCGGCTTCGTGATAATGGTGGCTTCTGTGAACCCCAATAGCATGAACAGCATCGGACATCTGCCCGTAGTATGAGTCGAGTGCACTGCAGGCTGTCACAGAGTCAGAGTACGTTCAAGGTCTCCTGGTGGTCGGAGGAGGGTTGTTGTGGCTGAGCATGATGCGGAGCGATCGAACTGTCTGATGGCAATTTCTCTGTCTTCCGTTTCACCAGCGAGACATGATCAAAATCGGACTTTCATCGGGATATTGAAGCAATCAGGGCGAACCAAAAGGCGTAGGGCTTGCCCCACAGCGGTAATCGTAGATCATCCAACATTGGTAAGTAACTAGCTATGCCTTGTCTCAATTTCACCACGAAGGGGAGATTTGACGAATGTTATTATGGGTGAACACTTAATTAAGAAGAAATTAGTCCTGATATCCACATTTTTCAAAAAAGCCCCTCTTTCTATTTGATTTATGATAAAAAATGACATCCTGAGCAGTAATTATTGTGTCTTTTCCGGATGCGGTTGCTGTTGTGGTAAAAGCTGCATTCGCCTAAGTACGTTTGTGAGGGGAGACACTTTGGAAAAATCGCTATAACCAGTGAATAGCTACGCTGCCCTGGTGAAGTATCCCTGAGTTGAATAATATCCAGTTCGATCCAAACCTTTAATCAGATCACCAAAGAACCATTCCTGCACCGCGAGGGTCCGTCCCCCCATCACTGGGATCACCTAAAAACCCAATCCCAGAGATTTCACAGTTCCTTTTATCGACATAACAAACGTGTCTTATAAGTAGACAATAAAAAAGGTATGTCTAAGTCATCATAGACAGACATCGTGTTTCCGTAGACAGTATGAGCCTTTAAACACGCCTCGTATTAATCAGCTAAGCAAGTTTCTGGTGAATATTGATTCCTTGAAAGTTCAATTTATGTTTCCGGTATGTTAATTACAGTTATCCAATGGTCTCCAGCTGCGTCATAGCTTCATATCAACCACAAGCTTTCCGCTGACCCCTTTATGATATTCCTCCACCAAGCGATTGATCTGTGAAAGTGGGAATGTTTTCACATCTGCCGAAACCTTGAACTTTTGACAGAACAAAAGCATCTCAGATAGCTGGTAGTTTCGCCCGACTAGACTACCAACCAGAGTGATGTCGCGGAAGACCAGGTCGTGTGCACTGAAGTGGAACCCATTTTTTGGGAAACTCACAATCACCATTGTGCTGTGGTTCTTCAGCAATTTTATTCCAGTATCAAATGCTGCTTGCGACTCGGGTAGGATAATGGCTGCATCCAACCCAAGCTCATTCATCGGTTTATCCCCTGTCTCTCTCATCATCGCTCGCATCGAAGCAACATCATCTTTTCGAACGTCGGCGACTTGTACATTGTCTCCTGCAGATTCCAGTTCTTGTTTGACCTTGCGAAGGAAAGCAAGCGACTTATCATTGGCATCAATTGCAAGAACAGACAGTCCAAGATGGGCTGCAAACTGAACGCCTAGATGCCCAAGGCCGCCACCGGCGCCAAGAATGGCCACTTTCTTCGCGTGGCGTAATCTTTCGTGATGCAATGCAGCCCAAACTGTAAGACCAGCACACATCAATGGCGCAACCTGGTTTGTGGGAAAACCGTCAGGGATCTTTGTGACCTGTCGACTGTCCACAAGGCAGTACTCCTGGAAGCCGCCATCCCTCGTCAATCCCAGATTTCCGGCATGTGGACAGAATGGTGAATATCCCATAGGGTCTTTATCTGGGTTGGTGCATTCAAAGCAGGTCGAGCAGGGATTATAAGCGCGTCCAGGAACCCCGACGCGGATTCCAGGTGACATCTCCAAGGATTTTGATACCTTGCCACCAACAGCAACGATCTCACCTGCAAACTCATGACAGCCGACGCACGGAAGATCTTTTGACATAGCACCAGATGCAAAAATTGCATCAGTATGGCAGTATGATGCGACCAGGACTTTGATAAGAATATCATGATCCTTTGGCTGAGGTGGACGAGGGATTTGTTTCAAGATGTAAGGTTGACCGAATTCCTCCAACACGGCTGCCTGCATTGTATCGACCATTGTGGCAAAAGGATAATATTGTTAAAGTATAGATATAATCACACGAATATCCAGAGCTTTATGTATCGAAGTGTATCGGCAACATCGAGTAGCAGCAATTCCCCTCAGCACGGGGTAATACTTGGGGTTTTCTGCCCCAAATCTAAAAGCGGGGTTATGGGGAAATGTACACACCTACAAGCGCATATGTCTCTGGCGGGTAAGTCTTCAGGTGGTTGACCCTCATTTGGAGACTGATCTTCCTTGACCACAGTCTTTTTTGTGCACAGACATATATACTTCATATATTACTACAAGGGTAGGTAAAGTTGATATCAAGTACATTGCTCAGGCGACCATCTTAGTATTGACTCGAAAATGTCAAAATATCTACCTAACGGACCAAAGGCGACTTATCGGCCAATTCCTGCTTATGCTCACCCTTCGCAACCATATGCGTAAGAGTCTTTTCAGCAACCTTCATAGCCTCCACGCCAGCAGGCACGCCACAGTAGATAGTAGCGTGAAGAATAGATTCGCGAATTTCGACCTCTGTAAGGCCATTGTTTATGGCACCACGGACATGGACACCCAATTCAGGCCAACTCTTCAACGCAATCAGCATGCCGATATCTGGATAAATTAGTATCAGTTGCGAATAGATACTGGCCTGCCACTTACTGAGGAGACTGCGCTGCTTGCGTTCCAATCCAGGTCTAGACCAGACATTGCCCCAACACCATCTACATTCGCAAGTCAGTATCCTGTAACAAGTCGGATCTGATGTACATACTCAGTCACGAGCTGCTGCCCAGGGTAAGAGAATTCACTCGATCCATTCTCCAATGCAGTGTTGACATAGGCGTCTCCAACAACTTCACGGCGGTTCTGGAGTCCAAGATCAAACATCTTGGTGTGAAGACCATCAAATTCAGGGCCGGTCGACATTATGACGATAATCAAGCAAACTTGTAAACACAGTCTGGGTTTTGTTGACTGCGAAATTGGATTATCAGATGTATTATGATGCGATAGATTTGGGGAGTTGATATTTACCCCAAACCCCCTTCCTGTGGGGCAGATTGGGGGATTGGGGCATAGGAGGGGACTAGCTGAGGGATAATGCCCTACGAAGGGTTCCTGTAGCAATCTGTTGCTGTTTTAATATTAGTCTGTTTGATAGCGCGTTCCATATGAAGGTATGGAAGCCCATCCACTCTATGTCTTTGGCACTTTTCATGCATTAGCTAACCCCATGTCGTGGTTGTTTCCGCGGAGTTATTGGGAATAAGAGGTTGACATATAAATATATAATGCGGAGATTGCATGCAAATGAGGGATATGAGCAGTGTCCAATTCTATGGAGGTGCATTGCCGATCAATCCTAGTCGCTCTTAATTTAGATACAAAGGTGAGTTCAACATGGTCATTCCATAGCAATCAGTAGCCGGACTGTGAAAAATCGTTAAGAAGTATAGCTAGTTAAGAAACATATATGAAGAACCAGATTGTATGTTTGCAACTCCGTACGTTTGGAATGACAACGCATTACCGTTGCCTATCAACATGTCCTCATGTAGATTTCAGTACCGACAGACACGCCGTTCCAATAGGTCGACATAAGTAAACAGCGTCTTTGTTATCAAATCAACAGCATTCCAAGTCCGCATTCCTTGGAGAATGGTAGCCCAAGCCCTGACTGCCTTTGGTCCAAGCAGATGTGGTGTACAGTCTATCACCCCTGGATTCCCATGCGGGCTGGACGATTCCACCTCACGTAGAGTCTCTTTCAAAACGTTAAGCACAAGCTTCTCGTCGGCCCCCAACGGATATTCCAATTCCTTCGTCGTAGTGGCCTTCAAAAACTGATTTAGGATATATGCGTAGTCCATCGAGCAAACTGCATGCATGACAGACCAACTCGGGGCCCGACCGACGAAGTATACTCCCATTTGCACTGGCGGGCATAATGCTGCAGTCTTTCATCAAGTCATCCACGGTCAGTTTCCGTTTATTTCGCGGGAACTTGGAAGGTCTTACTCACTGCGTGCCTTGCAGCCAATGTGAGCATTGGTCCGCGTCGAAGATCAGGCTGATCCATAAGCCTTGTTGCGATCTGAGTATGAGTTTGCTCTAATAGAGAGCGTGCCGGACCGATATCTGCGGCTAATCGGATGTAGGCTAGATGAAATAGAGCCTGATTTTGTTAATCAACTCGTTCTCACAAAAGGACAGGTGGTTGACTTACTGTTGAATTGAAAGCAATTGGACCATGTTTATCAAGGGGGTTCAGGGAGGATTCCGAATTAAGCTCCCACACTTTTTGCCATTTTTTCAGGGCTTGCCCGAGAGATACGGACAGTTCAGAGCCCAGTCCATCATTTAAGCTGCTCAAACGAGTCGCTTGTTGAACGGAGAATATATGTTGCAAAAGTGCATGAATCATGATATGACTTCCCAATGACGAGCATGCGGGCGCAGGCTTACTTGGCCTGAACAACATTTCAAAACAGTCCTGAAACAGTAATGGCTGTTCAAAATCCTGGACGATTGAACTCCAATATCTGGCACTGGGCGCCTTCCATAGTTGTTCTGTACATGGCAATCTCAGGTTGACATCAGACATCATGACCGGAGAAGGCAAATTAAACAAGATCCGATGTAGATTGAAAAAGGAGAATATAATCAGTTTAGTTCTCCGAGAGCTTTCGACTCGTGCCCAATCCTCCCACGTAGATGCATTTGATGGTGTTTCGTGCAGTCCATGTTGACGGATCATCATAGCAAGAACGCTCTGCGTTGAAATGGCGTGGCGCACCAACGGCCGATGAGCGCCTGCCCATGTTGCCATAGCCATTAGAAAGAAAAGAGCTTGCATTGTTCCGATTGTGGCATGATCTTCCTTCGAGTCCATCGGCTGTTGGGCGAGGTCTTGAGTGTTGAACTGTGGGTTCTCGTAATACCTTGTGCTTGCGCTCGGTGGGGTTGGGAAGAACCCTCCAGGATCTGGAAAAGCATCTTTTTGTTCCATCATAGACTCACGGAGACGAATCTGCTCCAGTGAAATGGCCCTTGCAATATGAAATAGTTTGATACCTTGATGCAGCTCGAGGCAATAATGCGCCCCCACGGCTGCCAGAGCTATAATCAACTCTGGAAGCATCTTCTGAATAGAAAGTGTCGGAAGGTGAAGTATAGGGAAATGAGGATGGAATCCAGTGACGAAGCCGTGAAGGTATCGTGTAAAAGCATGGCGGGAGGGCAATTTATGATCGGCTGGTAAGATGTTTTGGAACTTTGCTAGGCTTTCTGATATCCGAATCCAGTCTTCCTGCGATATCCGCATAAATGAAAAACTGTGTTGGTAGGGTTGAGTAGGCTCAGCTTGGGTCGTTTTAGTCTGTGGCTCAGGTGAAAATGACCCAAGCCTTGATAGCCTTCCAGGTAGAGTGTGATTAGAGTCTGGTTCCTTTTCGCTGTTCAGATATTCAACTTGTAGCCCAGTGTGGTTGTTGTCCAGAGGCGAAAAGAGCAGTGAATCATTGAGTGATAGCTCTGGATAGAATGCAGGCTGCGCGTCAAACAAGGGAAGGCTAACACCGTCGAGGTAGTTAAAAGAAAACGATGGAAGTTCTGGATCTGGTTCGCATATAGGAGGGAGGGGAGGCTTAGTCGTAGATGTATCGTCTGCAGTCTGCATATACCCAGGAAGGGATGAAGCTGTACTTAGTTGGGGATCCGCATTTTCCCCCAGTCCTGTCTGTACAAGCCCGCCTGGTAGAGGGGCTGGTTCTAGTTATTTCAAGCACGATCACAAAGAGAGGGGTCGAGGACATACCACCTGCCTGGTTTAAATCTAAGCCAGAAGGTGCCCCTGCTGACACTTTCCGAGTAACAGTGAATTTATCGGTATGAGTGAGCTTTATATGCCGGTTTAAGAGGTCTCTAACATAATTAATTTCCATTTAATTTATAAGATGTCGATGACCAACCTTCTGCGACATGCATAGTCGCACAAATGACAGTGGTGGGGCTTTTGATTGTAGTCTTTTCATAGTCAGCGATATAATTGGATATGAGTACTAGAAGACTTTGATTGCTCACGTATACTCTGATGTCGCTGCAGATGCTCACGTCGGTTGAACTGACGCTGGCAAAGGTTGCAGTTGAATTTCTTTGCGGGGGGGTTTGAGTGTATTTTGGGACCTTCGACCCCTCCAATAGCTGTAGATATGTCCTGAGACATGACAACAAATTGATAGTTCTTGAACTGAAATGCTATCGGTGTGCTCCCAGCCATGTGTGATGCAGGAGGATGTAGGAGAAACTGCCCCCAACATTTTCGGCAGAGAGGGACCGAACGCCTCGAGAACTTGGGCCATGTAAAACTAAAATGCGGGGCAGAAAAGGCGGGGGGACGATGTCGTCAACTCTGGAGATATTCAAGATCTGTGCATATATACTGACGCGCATGCCTTGCAATGATTTGTTCCCGCGAGTGGGTGGCTTCTTGGGGGAAGAATTTGGGGGGTGGGGAAGAATTAGCCACACGCCAAGCGTTATTTGTATAGTTCGGCAATTGGGGTACGATTGCCCCTCTGCCCCAAGGAAACATAAGTGAAATAACGAACAGTGGGTGTGCCCTTCATGTATATTTGAGAAGATCATCACCACTACATCACAGTTGTCTGTAAGAAACATTCTTCGCCGAAAACAACAGAGACGATGTCCGAATACACTAGCCTAGGATTTATTGGCCTCGGGGCCATGGGAAAGCCAATGGCCGAACAGTTGGCCACCAAACTTCCATCGACAACGAAAATTACGGTGTACGATGTAATTGAGGGTGCTATAACAGAGCTCGCAGAGAAGTATCCTGGCAAGGTTGTTGCGGGGAGCTCGCCGAGAGACGTGACCGAGAACTCTGTGAGTTCACACAATTGCAATATGAGTTTGTCAAGATCATCTCTAATAGCCTCTTTTAGCAACTCATTTTCTCAATGGTACCCGAAGGTGCACACGTGAGATCTGTCTATCTAGATGAAAAGACCGGAGTATGTTCCACCGACCTTGGCGTACGCATCCTTGTCGATTGTTCGACTATCGACACTGCGACAAGCCTTGCAGTCAAGGATCATGTCAAGATCTATCACCCAAAAGCATCATTCTATGACGCTCCTGTCAGTGGGGGTGTGATCGGTGCCGAGAATGGGTCTATCGCTTTCTTCCTAGGCTGCGCAGAGACAGACCCAAACCTCGACCGCCTCACGAAGCTGCTTGATTTGATGGGGAAGCAAGTTATTCCCTGTGGTCAGCCATCTCTCGGCTTGTCGGCCAAACTTTGCAACAACTATCTGTCTGGCCTGATTGCGATCGCCAATTCGGAAGCGTTGATCATGGGAATGAAAGCTGGACTGAATCCTCGGGTTCTGTCTAGTGTTTTTGGAGCGGGTACTGCGCAAAACACTATCTGTGACAAGTTTAATCCTTGTCCTGGTGTAGCACCAACGGCCCCATCGACAAATGGCTACAAGGGTGGATTCAAGGTCCAGCTGATGAAAAAGGACTTTTCCCTGGCAGTTGACTTGGCCAAGCAGCAGGGAATTGATCTAGTTCTTGGGGCGCAAGGGTTGAAGACGTATGAAAATGCTTCCAATGATCCGAAATGCAGGGACCTTGACTCCAGAGTAGTGTTTCGCCATCTAGGAGGCGATGAAGATTGGGCGACAAAGTTTAATTAGAAACAAAATGCTACCCGTTCTTCAATTTCTTCAATTTCCTACTGAGATCTAAGATTTTTATATATCATTTTATCACGGGCTACCCGGTTTTAACTGAAATTCCTCGAAGTATGGACAGGTCGTCGACCCCCACTTTCCATGCCTCGATTTGGACTAAGAATTTTTTTATTTGAAGAGTATCCCCAAGAATAGATATGGTATGCCAACTAGTCAATCATAGCAATGCCGGAGCAGAATGATATGATAGTCTAACTTCGCCTTCAGAGAGGGCGGTGTTACTTAGTATGAGAAAATGGGGACTGCAACCCCCTCACACTGGGTTTCCCCAAAATGCCAAGACCTGACATGTGTGGATGAACCTCATTCCCCAATGTTTGTAAGCAATTCCCCAGACCCATAGATCCATGCAACACCCCATCGGGACATGTCTTCGGGAGTGCGGGGACCTAATATCGTACAGTGATATTTAATTGATATCCCCCGCAGCTGAATCTCACCAAATACCGACTCAGATCGAACGCGGATTGATCAATCCATTCACCATGTCTGAAAGACAAACTATGAGAGCGGCTGTCTTCCGGGGTGTCGGCAAGATCGGCCTGGAAGATCGACCAAGACCTCAAATACAAGATGACGGTGACGTAATCTTGAAAGTAACCGCCGCTGCGCTGTGCGGCAGTGACTTGCATTGGTATCGGGGACATCAAAATATTCCCACTGGTTTCATCCCTGGTCATGAATTTGTTGGAAGTGTCCACGAGGTTGGTCGAGCAGCGAAGGGGTTCAAGCTTGGGGATGTGGCTGTGGTATGTTGTTCTGATATAATGGTCACATATGGAGGGTTTAGAGCTGACCATGACAGGCCACCTTCTCGACGCAGTGTGGTGACTGCTTCTATTGTCATAGACGTGAAACCAGCCGGTGCGCTAAAAGCGTTTTGTTTGGTATGCTGAAGCCACCTTCGATATTTTGAGTCGAGTTGACATCAAGTGTGTATGTATAGGAAACAGTGCAGGAACCACAAGCATCGATGGTGGACAAGCCGAATATGTTCGCGTGCCTCAAGCAAACTCATCACTGATCCACGCGCCATCATCTATCCCACCCAATCTGCTTGTTCTCATGGCAGATATATTCCCCACGGGATATTTCTGTGCCTCTCGTTTTCTAAAAACCTTGTCAGAAGAAGAAGCCAGATCAAGTGTCACGGCCGTTGTTGGGTGCGGCCCAGTTGGTATCTGCGCTATTGCAACTGCGTTGACACGATGTGATACCGTCTTTGCCATCGACATGGTCCCAGAGCGCCTTGCAGAAGCAGAACGTCTCGGTGCGAAGCCGCTTCTGCGGAATGAAGACCCGGGTGCGGCTATCAAGGCTGCCACCGATGGACGCGGTGCTGATATTGTACTAGAGGTGGTGGGAACACTTGATGCTATGCGGCTCTGTGTGGATATTGTGCGTCCGTTCGGTAGTATCAGCAGCGTTGGCGTGCAGACGGAGACAGTCGCCCTCGAGGGGCCAGTGCTATATGGTAAAAATGTGACTATCGCATGGGGGCGGTGTCCCGTTCGTGGGATCTTCGAAGAGGCTCTTCAGACACTGTGTAAGGTGCAAGACAAAGTGTCTTTCTTATGTGACTGGTCCATGAAGCTTGAGGAGGCTGAGGAGGCGTATCGGCTGTTCAACGATCGGAAAGTCCACAAAGTTCTCTTGAGGCCATAGCCATATTAGAGCATTATGTATATACTAGCATGAAATAACGTAATATCGGAATCTCGGAGTCGGGCAAACTTACTCAGCAGAATGCCAGAGGAGCGCCGACAGAATTCATAGATCCAGAGACTCTAAGCCACGTTGCATCTTGCCAAAAAAGATTAATGCACTAGGATACGAACCGGTTTCACTTCAAGATTGCAATCCGAGCCAGCTGAAGGACAGGTGGATAATTTAGGCCCTATCCCATGGGGGTGCCTGCAGTATAGCAGACTATCCAGTTTACTCTTAACTCGATAGTAACTTAGACCCACGATCATAGTAGATGAACTGTATTGCTCTTTGCGGCATCGAGCGGGGATGAAAGAATGTTTAAAATGATGCTTGATCGTGATGCAAGAATTGCAGACAGAGCTATAGTGGAAGTAGTGGCGTCTTGGAAGGATTTCCATAGGGTCGACGGAGAGGGGCCCCTAGAAATAGCTGCTCTCGCCGGAAACTGGGCTGTAGTGAATTTTATAAATGACCAAGTAAATGAGTGCGTCTAGACTCACTCCGGAAACTCGAATATGGCCGTCGGTGTCGAGTCGGCATACTAAAAGGACTATAAAAGCGATCAGCTTCAGATCATACGGACCCTAGAGGTCACTATGTAATGGTCAAAGTCTGGGCTTATATAATATAATAAATCGACTAGGAATGTAGGGAGACTCCAAAGCTAAATAACCGAAGCGATACATTCAGAAAGAGAAAAGAGGCTTATGTCAAAAGCCTGTTTCCTGGGGCTCTCTGATCATCAATGCGAACTTCTGACTTCCCTCTCCACCACGATCGGTGTAATCTAGCTGTATTTCCTCGACAATCTTCCACCTGTGCTTCAAATACGCTGGCACTCCTTCCATCGTAGCTTCCAGATATACCCGGGCGTTACTGGCGTCTGCTTTCTCGATACCCGATTTGAGAAACGCACTTCCTATTCCAATTCTTTGGTACTCTGGTAAGACGTATAGTAGTCCAAGGACTAGCAGTATTTTTAGCAGTCAATATCGTAAAATTTTCATATAGAGTGGCAAAATGGGTTGACGAACCAATATCAGTTTCCTTGAGATGTATGTTCCTACTACGCTTTATCATTTCCTCGTAGAACGTGTATGTACCTTAACTTTGGGGCATACGCCCACATATTCTACATTTGCGCTTGCGCATCGTTGCTCAGACCTGTGTCCACGGCTCTTTCGAACTCGTAAATAGCTGTACGAATCCTCTAGCTGAAAGCTAATCATACACTTTGTCCTTTGGCTTTGCGGAGTTGCATGTCAGCTAGGCTTTCTCATTATCGCTAGTCTTTGTTTCTAAAGTTGGGACGTCGTACGACTTCCCTAGCTGAAAGCGAATTATACACTTTGCCCTTTGGCTTTATAGAACCCATCCTGGTCAGCCAGGCTTTCTCACGATCGCTAGTCTTTGTTTCTAAAGTTGGGAGTTCGTACGAATCCTCTGGCTAAAAGCGAATAATGGACATCACTGGCTTGCTTGTCAGGCCAGATAACCCTCCACGAGATGATGTCGAAGGGATGGATTACCCACGATGTGCAGCTCTATACAACTATCTGGCCCAATATTCCTGGCTCGCTGAAGGTCGTCCGCTGGCAACTCTGAATGAAGATAGCACCAACTTTTTCACTCTCAACGTTTACAGCAATATAGTAGTCTCCACCAACATATCAACAGTCCTTCACGTTCGGAATCATCATTTAAGACTTAGTCAACAAAATTCACGCATAGCATTAATACGCTAGTTGGTATGCTCTCGTCAACACATGCCCGGCTGGATCAGACACCGAGTCTTGTAAATGACCAGAGACGAAACAGTTACCACCGTATTTTTAGACGGTACCTAGATGCAATGGGAAAAATCCGGTGCCAGGCTCGGGAAAATGCGCGAGCCTCTGACTTGATGCTGATCGAACGTAACAAACCACCATATCAAGGACTACCCCAGATAAGGGAGTGCACTTCATGGAATGAATTTTATTGCGTCTGTCATCTAAGGGCTGATATCTTTTAACTTAGACTGGACCACTGAAGTAGCCTTGAACAGAACAGATTAGCGGACTCTTCCGTCCTAGCTTGTTTTACCTCTGCTGTTATAGGCCGATTCAGACCTTCAGAACATAAAACATGGATATAATTTGAGTTAATTGTACGTTTTTCATGGTTAATAAGATCTTTACAAAGAGTCATATTTTGCTTTTGTATATAGAAAATTCAAATTGGCAGATATCTTCCAATAATTGTATTTTTCGGGGAGCCAAGTTGGGCCTAAACGGATGGGCTGACAACCTGGGCATGAGATGCCGGTAGCTCTAGAGTTCTGGCCAGCAGGACCCGTGATATTGGCATTGGCACGCTCAGTGAAATCCTCTGGGAATAGACTATACAAGGGTCTAGAAATGGCTTGGGCACTATCATAGGCACTTATCGCAATTTGATCGACATGATGGTGAGGAGGTTAAAGGTACAGTGTTTTAGATTATTCGATAACTCGGTAGATCCCCATAAAGATCCCGCACTTGAATATTCTGGCGGCTAGCAGATGACTTCCCCAGATAAATCCCGCTCTGCCAAGGAAAACCCCCACTTTGTTCTCTGGTAGGAAAAGAGTTCATTCCCTGGGGGAATCAGATATGAATGGATATTTATACTAGAAAAGGCCTTTGTAAGGTCCTCGGATGTCGTCGGAGGACCTAAATACGGGGTAATTTGTTCTAAATTACGGTTAAACCATGTTTGGGTTCAATGAAAGTTAATTTGGAACGTATCTTTTAGGCGTAGATTAGGGACATCCCCTTGTCCGAAGAACGAATCAAAACTTGTAACCTTCGAGTAAAGTTTAGGGGCCCATAAACGTGGTAGATCCCCACATAACTCTCCTACAAAATCCCGCACTTATTCCAGGAGAACCCATACATCTTCTCTAGATGAATCCTGCACACTCTCCCTTTCCCCAAAAAAAAAAAAAGAAAAGGGAGGGGGATGGAATAAAGACGAAGCGGAATTTTGGGATTGGGCTTTCCGCGCCGCCAGCTCGTAGTGACGTGCCGTCTGAGTCCGCTCAAGTGCGGCCCACCCGAAGCCAATGTCAGTACCATTCGGCATGCCAAGATCGTGGGGGCAAACCGAACGGACAACCGGACGAATTAAGAAGCCGCTCCGGATCTGTGCACGTAACTAAAAACCCCGAGGATTGTTAGTAGTGGTGGGCCATTATTCGAACATGAACTCTATAAAGAACCGAGACCCTTAGCCATTCAGGATCATCCCCCGCATTGAAAACCCGGGGACTGTCAGCAGTTATGGTCCACCTGGGCATTATTCGAACATGAACCCTATAAAGGACCGAGAACATTCCCCGTTCAAGATCATCCCCCTCAATTTCCTTTCAACTTGGTAAATTTTTTCCATCTGGTGTGGTTGGCGCCACATGTTCAATTGTTTCCATTAATTAACAGTTTCTCCACAGGTGCCATCAACAACTAGCCAAGTCATGATGGACGTCGAGAAACCCTCAACCCCCGTCGAGATCGAGAAGGTCAAGATGTCAGACATCGAGTATGAGCGTGCGGAGCTGCTGGCCAACCTGTCGGATCCGGACGCGGGTAAGAATGACGAGGAGCGTCGCCAAATCGTGAGTTAGACTTTTTCACTGGACGCAGTACAATTGAACATTGAACTAACGTGAGTCTCGCACACAGGACAAGAAGCTCATGTGGAAGGTTGACATGGCCCTTATTCCTTGGCTTTCCTTTTTGTACCTGCTGTCCTTCCTCGATCGAACTAACATTGGCAATGCTCGTCTGGCTGGCCTCGAGGACGATCTTGGCATGGTGAAAGGAGATTACAATAATAACTTGACCATTTTCTTTGTCGCTTACGCCGTCATGGAGCCCGCCACCAATGCCCTGCTTAAGATGATCACCCCTCGTCTATTCTTCACCATGATCATAGTTACGTGGGGCGTTATCATGACTCTTATGGGTCTGGTCACCAACAATGCCGGACTCCTTGCTGCCCGTTTCTTCCTCGGTGTGGCTGAGGCTGGCTTGTTTCCTGGTGTAAACTACTATCTTTCCTGTTGGTACAAGAGCTCAGAGATCGGTGTCCGCTCTTCCATCTTCTTTTCGGCTGCTGCACTCGCCGGCTCCTTTGGTGGCCTGCTCGCTGCCGCTATTGAAAAGATGGATGGACTCGGCGGCAAGGACGGTTGGGCCTGGATTTTCATCCTCGAAGGTCTCGCTACTGTCCTCGCGGGTTGCTTTTGTTGGTGGCTTGTCTTTGATTGGCCCGAGACAGCTCGCTTCCTCAGCGCAGATGATCGCATTCGCGTTCAGCGCCGTCTTATCATGGATCGCCAGGGCCGTACTGCTGAGGACTCGGACAAGAGGCATATGTACGCTGCTCTGAAAGACTGGAAGACATATGGATACATGTTCATCTATATGGGCTGCCTCACCCCTCTGTACGCATTCTCTCTTTTCCTTCCCACGATTATCGCCGGTATGGGCCACCAAGGAACCAAAGCTCAGCTACTATCTGTTCCTCCCTATGCTGTCGCCGCCGCTTTAACCGTCTGTGTTGGTTTCTACGCCGATCGCACACGCCAACGAGGCCTTTGCAATATCGCCACTGTTTTGCTCAGTATTGTTGGCTTCGCCATGTTGATTGCCAGTTCCAATCCAACTGTGCAATACGTCGCTGTCTTCCTCGGTGCAGCGGGCATTTACCCCACCATCCCGAACACCCTCTCATGGCTGAACAACAACACCGAAGGTTCCCTGAAGCGTGCCTTTGTCTTGGGCGTCGTCGTCGGCTGGGGAAACCTGAATGGTGTCGTGTCTTCCAACATTTATTTGACCCAGCAGAAGCCCCGCTACTACACTGGACACGGTGTTCTTCTTGGCTTTCTGACTGTGTTTTTGCTTGGCGGCTCGATCTGGATGCACCTTGGACTTCGCAAGATGAATAAAGATCGAAGAGCTGGTAAGCTAGATGAGAAGTGGAACGCTCTGACGGATGACCAGAAGTGGATTCAGGGTGATCTTCGTCCTGACTTTATGTATGTCTTATAAGAGTGACGACGCAGTACCGACAGCATTGTTATAAGCGACCTAAAGGACATGGCTCCACTCGTCGGTTATGAAAGTCAGGGTATCGCCGTGTGGCTTTTAAATCAAGGTAGTCAGTCACCCTCGTTTGATCGCTACTGCAAACAACTTCTATATTCCAACCGCTGGCTCCTCGGAGACAACCTAAGCATATATGATGACCAGCACTATGATACTTAGACGAATCATGTATATAAAGCGAGGTATATCGGACCAATTGAAGATATCAACATCGTTATCATCATCAACTGCTATCTTTTTATCATCTTGTGCCCCAAAGGTGCTTTGAAATGTGAATCCTTTTCACGGCCTCCATAGACCGTGAATGTCTCCAAGAGCAAAAGGTCGCCGAGTGCGCACAAGGTCTCAAGCCAGTTGTGCATCCGAGGGTGTACAGCATCGCTCGCAGTCGCCAGATTCGTCAAGCTCCGACTCGAACCAAACAAGTATACGGAAACGGGGCTGCAGTAAAGTTACATCTTCGCCTGTCCAACGAGCTGCTCGTCAACGAGACACTGGGAATAATCAAGGCAGCCAGTCCCGACGCCACGATGTTCAATTCTGCGCCCAGCGATGCTTACTCGGGCTGCAGGCTGGGGGTATCCTAGACGATTGTTGCCCTAACGTGAAGCTCCACCGTCAGGGTCAAGATGACCTCAAACATCCCATCACATCAGAGGATTTGGTTTGCTTACTCAAGTCACAGCTGGACGAAAATATTGCTCGCTGCATGCCCTTTGGAAAGTTTGGGGCATACAGTGCGCTGTTCAAACTTACATGTGCAACATATGGTTACACTGTCGTCGGGAAAGGAACCACGTCAGAACTGTGGAAAGAAGTCTCCTGCGAAGCGCAGGTATATCAAATCTTGCGGAAGGCTTAAGGGTCTGCTGTGCCAGTTTTTCTCAGTACAATCGACTAGGCAAAAATTTACTTTCTTCATGGGGCTGGCGAAATCCATCACATGCTCGTCATGGGCTGGGGAGGCGAGGGGACAGCATCGATCGAGCTCAAGCCATAGCTTCGCCAGGAGATCCACAGGTCAACCAAGGAAACAGAGCCCTAGGAATCATCCACGACGATCTGCGGCGTGACAATATCCTTTGGAATGAAGAACTCGGACGAGCGTCGATTATCGACTTTCACCGCTCTACATTAAAATGTCGGCCAACCTCAAAGCGATCACAACGCGCGAAGAGACAACTGTGTCGGAGAGAGTCAGGGATGTAAAGCGTTTGCGCGTTTTATGAGAGAAGTTGCGTGCCTAACTCTATTCCGGACCGCATGCCTGCCAGGTACAGTATGTGGTTTTAGGGGGCCATGATTGGCTCCCGGCAGGTGGGTCAAGTTCAGGGATTTGGGCTTCAGAAATACCTGAAATCCCGTGCTCCGATCGGTCTGGAAATTTATATAGTTTTATTTGATAGTGTACAAGAGTGTATGCCAAATTTGGGATCGAACGGAGTATGGGAAGGTGGTGAAAAATGAAGTTGAAATATGGATTCTTTTTTTGGTGGGGTGCGACTGGCGGATTTTGATACGGGCCCTGATACCGACACGTATTGGTCTTATCTTAGCCGCCTAGTAGTAGGAATTCAATACCGTATCCGTATTTACCTGACCCGGTATTTAATATCTTAGACTTAAAAAAAATGGAAGATTTAACAAACATTTATTATTTAATCAATATATTAATTAGTTATAGAAAAATATAGGAAAATAGTATAATATACTATCTGAAAAGGGCTATAGAACGCACTATTCAAATTTTCTATACCTAGTCTAGAAAGGGAGATATTCCCGATTTAACCGGAAAAATAAAAATTCCTACTATAGTTATGCACTTTGAAATATATGTCTTGGTAGTACATGGTATGCTCACCTCCATATATATATCCCGACCGAGATCGGACTAATACTTAGTTTAATCTAATTAATTTAATTTTCACTGTTTATACTACTGATCTATATATATATATTATAAAGGGCGTAAATTTAATATAACTAGTTAGGTGCTGAATACTAAGCTTATACAAGCAATATTAGACTAATATTTAGTATTCCACACGACGGGCAAGCGGGGGCCAGAACGGCTCCCATTGCACCCCGTTCGAGGCCCTAATACTTGCCCTCCATCTATAAAACACCGTTCGTCCTCTTCGCAGCTTTGTCGACGCATTTTCACTCTTTTTCCTGTCTGACCCCTTTTCTCTCGGCCCCCACCAACTTGTATGCGCTGGCTTGCCACCTGATGTACTGCCCCTTCCATTTCCACCGGAGATGCCGCTCGATGCACCATTGAGCCCGTTCTGGCTAGCGTTGCCTGCAACGCGGGCCGGTCTCCTGCGAGTTGATGCATCGAGATCATGAACCCCTCGGACATGCCGTGCAATATGATGCTAGCATTCGCCCCGCCTGTTGGTTAAACTGCGAAGATCTCGAGTAAACCTCCTGTTGCGAGCCTTTCTCGCTGAGCGCCTCGCTCATTTCGCTGGCATTCTTTGCGCGGCCAGAGAATAGTGTCTCGGAAATCCTGACACGCACGCTCTGATTTGCCACAGTTCGTGTGAGGTTGCATTGTCCAGCCCCTAGTGGTGAAGGTGCACCCTGGTCCGCTCGTTCGAGGTTGCCTCGGGGTAAGACTGCCGTTATAGTCAGTTTCTCTTGACCGCTGTTACTCAGTCGACGAGAATTCGGAAGACGATGCCATTGTATGGACCAATGGCGAAATTGCGGCATTCTTGCCTGGCCTTAATCAATGCCAAGTACTGCGTCACCGAGGCCGACGATGCTTATTCGACCGCAATGTTGATGAGCTTGAAATAAGCCAGTTTGAATCCGATGCTGACGAATCCCTGGAGAATCTGCCTGAAACTGTTAGAGTCGAGACCCTGATCGCAGCCTATCACTCCGTAGCTAAGTGTTGGGACCACGAGATGTTCGTCACTGAGCGACGCATCCCTTCGTTAGCAAACACGGCAACTCGAAATCGAGGAGGGCAGTTACAAAACCTTCTGCCACTTAACCGCTTTGACATCCCTGCGTACGGAAACTCTGCCCTCCGTTTCTTCTCGTCATCTATGGTACAGCAATGGGAGTCCCGACTCAAAGAACTTGCCAAACTTGGTAAACATGAGGTTGTGGATAATGATACAATAGGGCCGGTTTATTAAATGGATGACTTCACCTTAAACATTGGCGATGACGCCTTAAGACCTATGCTTCATGAACTGGATCCTGTTGTTACTCTGGCCAACTAGCGGTCCCAAGTGGCCGACAACCCCACCCCTGCTTCTTTAACTTGTCAATGAAAGTATTCCCCTGAATACCAAACAGCGGCTAGCTGTCGAAAACATGTTAAGCGAAGCACTGAGTTGGGCGGGCCGTCCAGGAATATCAACCGCTTAAGATGAAACTGCGTTAATTGACATCATGGATTGCTGTTGGTATCACCAGCTAGGTACCGTGTACACAGTTAAGTGAACAGTGTTTTATGCTCCTAAGCAAAAGTTGATTGATTCATATGTGTGTGTGTCTCTATTCTCAGGTCAGGTTCCAAGAATTCAATAGTAAACTGCTTAGTGTAGAGTGGGGTAGAAGCAACAGACCTTTCGGACAGCACGTTTGGTGCCGACCAGGCTTTATTTATTACTGTTGTGATATCATCATTCACGCCTCAAGCATATCGCATTCAGGATCCAGCGCAAGTGCCGACTAGGGTAGTAGTAAACCTACCATCATTATTAACATTTGTGGACTTCAGCGAGGCCTCGGTAAATGTATCTTACCACTACAAATAAGTAAAGGAGTACTTGATACTGGGGTTCAGATTTAAACAATATCGTTCAATGAAGTGGTTGAAACCAGCAAGTCAGCTAGTCCAATCGTACATTTCAACAATTACCCCATACGGTCTTTCATTCTGGAGCTTGTAATGATGCAATCAGGGTACATAGTGTGATTCGTCCATACAAAATTCTTTTCCCTTTAAAAGAACATAGCAATAACCCTCCCAAAGAGACCCTTTGGCCGATTAGAAGACATATGCCCCGCCACATATTCAGCTTCCTCTTGATCAATCCTATCTTTTCCACTGTATAGATCACAAGACTTGGGGTGCACGACACGAGTCTTCCGAATGACCTTGTGTCCAAAGTAAAGAGAAAGATATATAGGGATCCCGAGATACCCTGTGATGAAGCTCTTATAATCAAAGTTCCCGTAACTTTCATTGTTAGGTATGAAAGCCGAAAAATTTTTGGTCAGTGCAATGATGACACAGAACGCGAGGGCGAAGTATGACCCTTGTATACCTAGGGGAGCAGTGTACGCCAGAGCTGAATCGAGCACCCCCTGAGCTCGCCGCGCTCGGACAAAGGATATGTGGCTGGTGAGAATAGAGATCCAAACCAGGAGACCGAACATAGTGACGAAGCTGGCTAAATAGCTGAAAATCGTCTCACTTCCGCTGCTGACGTTCATGAAAGCGAGGAGGGTAAAGATTGAGGAGACTCCCAGTGCAAAGAAAGGAACTCCGCGAGCATTCGTACGGGCTAACAAGCGAGGGGCCTGTCCCTCTACTGCAAGGCTGTATATCGTTCGAGAGCAGATGTACAGGTCTGAGTTGGCGGCCGAGAGGATAAAAATTAATATGCATCCATTGAAAATGGATGGGAGGATCCAAATGCCCGCTGAGCTGATCGCGACCACAAAAGGCGATGCGGATGCCGAGGCCTTCTTCTTGTTTGCAAATAACAAGTCTGGTGAGTTGTATGGGACGTTAAGTCCAACCAGAAAGACAGACAGGACGTAAAAGAATATAATCCGCCAGAAGGTCAGCCGGATTGCACGGGGAATTGTCTTCCGAGGATTCACAGCCTCGCCAACGGTGATTCCGACCAGCTCGGTTCCAAGGTAGGCGAAGGTAGCTGTCACCATGCTGGCCCATACGGCAAGGAATCTCCCAAGATCACCTTCCGCCATGTAGGGCTTGAATGCACCCGGGCTCTCCCAGTACCTGAATCCCTTTCTATCATGGTTTGGGCCTCCTCCAAGGGCCAGCACAAGGCAAAGGATGATAATGCCAATCATAACGACAATCTTAATACTGGACAAGACAAACTCCAATGCCCCAAAAAACTCAATGCCCAAATAGTTACAAAAGATGATTGTTACCATAAAGATTGCGATGAAAGCACCAGGGTTGACTTGCTCTCGAGGTACCCAGTACTGAAGGACAAGAGCAGCAGCGGTGAGTTGATTTGGTGTGACAACAATATATTTAAGCCAGTAACTATGTTGCCATGGTCAGCAAAACCTTTGTCAAGGAAAGCCAAGGAACAGCCGCAAATACCTCCATCCAAGCGCAAATCCAAGCGAAGGATCACAAAATCGAGTAGCATAACCAGTGAAACCACTTGCCATTGGAATCCAAGTTGCCATCTCCCCCAACGCACCCATCACCAAATAAACAACAAACCCTACAATAGCATAAGAGAGCACAATCGAGGCTGGTCCAGCTGTTGCAAGGCCCTGCCCGGTTCCAATAATCAAACCAGTTCCAATAGCTCCTCCCATGGCAATCATGGTAATTTGTCGTGCATGTAGCCCCTTGTGCAGCATTGTCCCCTCATTCATCTGGCCAGCATCAAGATCAATCTTCTCAGATGGCACAGGAGAGTCATGTTCTTCAAGGCCCTTAGAGCCATTCACAGGAGAGATGCTGTCAATGGTGTAGATACTATTGTTTTTGGGAGTGAAATCGGAAAAGCCCAGGTTAGAATTTATTCCAATTTGGAATAAAAGCTGGTTGTTATACTCGCCAAATGAGGGGTAGGCTTTGTATTGCTTCTAGCAAAAGTTTGATCTATTATTTTCTCTTGATACTTTTTGATGCTTTACTATCGTTTCTGAGAACCTCGGGGAACGTCCGATTCGTGAAATACAATGGAACACGTTCCGAAACCGTTTGCTTGCTGAAATTTAATAGAATCCGTTGCCTCTTATATTGGATAGCAGCCCTTTATTAGTATATATTGAGTGTCAGAATGGGCGCGGAAATGCTATGAAACACTTGACAGGTACTCGGAGCTGGAACCGAGCTGAACGGGCCAATATCCGAACTTCTCGGGGTAATGACCCGAACACCTTGAATAGCGCCAAGAAAACTCTCTCATTGCATGACTACAAGTTACATAAACCCGCTCGTATATCTAAATGCGTATGGATGGGTTGGGGAAGAAAACTTTGATAATTTCATGTGGATACGATACTGGGCAAACCCTTCCCATTCCCCCGTCTTCTCACGACAACATCCGCGCCCAGTGGGAATCAGGAAAGAGGTTAGGAATGACAGCGACTCTCGTACAATTGACAACATACTACCTGCCAAGTACACGACGCTAGACGGCTCTACAAATCTCTACCGACCTACGGACACAGTTACGGAAAGGACATTTCTGGCTATCCGCATAGCGAAGGCCCACCGCTTCCATGGCAACGACAGATGCGTCTGCTGGGACCGAGAGACAGTGAGCCACGTACTTGTCCCAATTTGAGAACGCTACTGTAGTATTCCTTCGGGAATGGTAGACCATTCCGCACTTCTTTGTCCATGCGCCCACAGTAAAGTGTCCTCCGAAGCATATTTTTTTTCAGCTTTCTTTCTACTCTTTTGCTGTGTGCTTCATTTTGTGAAAGAAAGGAAGTGGAAATGGGATTGCGCTGCCATTTGTTATAGTTACTGTATTTGGCCTTAAAAGGTTAGCTCCGATCTGGAGACGATTGGCTTATCTGTGGGGTAACAATCTGTCCTTCGTGATAAGAAAGAGGAATGCAATATGTTCTGATATGGGCTCCAGTATTGCAGTTGGGGTAATCAAAGCTTCCTGTTGTTCTGTGGCGTAGATTCGATAGATAAACGTCTTGGCCACACGTAATATCTTCGATCAAGAGCTACATGGCTTATCTGGCCCGATCCCGTTGTGATAAGAACGCTGGATGCATTACCAGCCAGCGGACTAATCCTGGGGTGGCGACACCAAAAGACCAAAGCACCCATTCAGTGAAGAAAATAGGGAAAATAGGTAGAAACAATAAAGCTTCTATAAGAAGCATAACCCTTTGTATTAGTTATATCTATATAGCCACGCCGCCTTCACTCTTTCTTTAGGCTAATTGCTATAAGCCCGTCTACCACTTATATTTAGAGGTTCATGGTCTTCGTTCTCACATTAAATCTAATGTAATAGTCGGATAATTGTGTTTCGCCTTCTCCCTCCTTGTTAGCCCCACAAAATATTCAATCGACTCCAACCTCTATTTCTAGAAAGAGAAGGCTCTTGATTTTGATGAGCTTGATCGATGTAATACCGGAGGGGAACTTCGTCCAGAGATATAATTTGAGTCCTTTGCCAGAATTTGTACCCGAAGTACAAAGCCGCAAGGATGGCAATGTCTAAGTACGAGCTGATAAAGGTCTGGGTGCTCCATCTTTGGGAGAGAATCAACATCTACCTTGAGAACTTGTAACGCATGAAAGGAGATCCCGGGTGACTAACCTTTTGTGAATAAAAGTGCGAAATCCACTTGTCAGAAGGAGGATGAAGAAACAAATCAGACTCGCCCAAGCTGCATACGGTTGGAACGGGGCTTTCCACGGCAGCTCATCCAGTGTAATCCCTTGTTTCTGCATTGCGTAGTAGAATCGCAGATACACCACACAAATAACCATCCACGCGACGAAATTGTAGGCTGCAATCATATTTTGAAGCCACGTGAACACAATTGTGGCACCTGAGCTGCTTGTCAAGTAACCAAGACAGATACTCAACGACATGATTGAAACCGCAACATATGGCACACCCCAGCGACTGACCCTTTTCAACACCGACGGTGCATGCTTTTCCTGGGATAGACCGAAAAGGACGCGCGAGCCCCCCATCAGGACTAGATAGAGATGACAGGTCAGCGAATTCTTGATAAAGAAGCCAAAAGCGCAGCATACTCGAGTTTCCAGAGCTCCACGCGCTAGTCAGTACAATGGCATTGATGATCGATGGTAATACCTTGATACCGGCGCGCTGGGCGGATAATACAAATGGGGATTGCGCCGCAGTCCCCGTAGACTTGAGAAGATCTGGATCATTGGACGGAACCAAGAAGGTAATCATCATTATTGTTATGACTATAGCAACCATGACGAGTCAAACAAAACATCCATTAGGAAAACAGAAGGTGGAAAAGACCATATAGCGGAAGACTTACTGTAGAATATCACTACCCTCGCAAGGATTCGCTTTGCAGCCTTGGGGATATTTTGTCGCGGGTTTTGTGTTTCACCCGCGAGGAGAGCCACGTTTTCAACGCTGGCAAACGAGTAAACAGCAGGTGTGAATGAGCTCCACACACCTAAAAATTGACCAAGCTTGCCGGGAATGTTGAGATACTGGACAAATGGACCTGGGTTGTGCCAATACTGGGCACCATGTACCTCACCAGCTGGGCCACCACCGCAGACAAGAACTAAGGCCTGTCCATGGTCAGATCATAATTCCTTTGAAAGATTAATCCACTTACCATCAAGTTCAGGCCGATAATGAGAAGGATTTTCAAAATTGCGAATGAAAATTCTAGTTCCCCATATATTGCACAAGCGAGAGATTGCAAATTATAGCAAGACCTCCAAAAACTGTGACCCAAATGGCGCTATTCAAACTTATCCAAAACTCAACCAGCACAGCAGCTGCCACAATCTCTCCAGCTATGGAAATAAAATACGCGTATGCAATATTCCATCCCTGGGCGAAAGACAGCGCCGGATCGACAGAATATTCTGCATGTCGGATAATGCCTCCACTAAGTGGAACGAGAGCACTGTCACAGTATTATGGTCTATTATATCAGAAACAGGCATTTATACGTACCTAAGCTCAGCAATAGAAATAAGCATGCCGGAGACCAAAATACCAACTATCGAGTACCCCAGGCTAGTAAAAAGGTGGTTAGTATTGCTCTTATAGCTTTTGTAGACAGTGCTTACATTGCTCCTGCTGGCCCTGAACTTGCTATAACTTGACCAGAACTTAGAAACAGTCCCTATCTTAGGTGTGAGCATTATAGATAAAAATTGGGACGGGTTTTTCCGAATTACAGTTCCGATTGTACCAGCGAGGGCAATCATCTGTATATGTCGCTGCTTGAGGCCCTGTCTAGATATCAAGTTGTTAAAAGTGGTCATTTGAGAGATGGGAAACTAACTTCAGAAGTCTCCGCTCATCCAGATCTACAAGCTGTCCCGGAGTTGCCAAGGGTGCATCATCGGCTCGGGATCCGAGCTCCTTTTCTGTTATTACTCTTTCCATTTTGAGACAATCGATAAAATATGAGATCTGTAAGATCAAACGTTTTCAAAGCTCAATTCAGAGGCCAAGAAGCCATTTATAATAGATGAAAGGCGACTTTGGATCGGGGCAGTACGGTGGGGCACCCCCTCTTGTTGGAGCAGAAACATGACTTCCGGGCGAAAGCTTCCCCAGAGAATAAGCATTGACCAGGTCTGGAATATGACATTGGACAAATAATTGCTTGGCCGCAAACAAAGTCCAACACTTTTCAACGTTGACGAACTGAGGAAAGGGTCAATTACCACTAAGACTTTCCAGGACAGGGTTATTCATTGTTCACCCAATCTCCCTAGTATTTGTATGGTATTCCAGGTAGATACAGAGGTGTGGTGTAATACGCCGGAGCTCAATTATACAGACCCCTGAGATCGCTGACCGGCCATAACAACCTCAATCAATCGCCTGATTCTTATTGGACATGTTTAGTACTACCCAGTACAGCATTCCTCATCCTGATAAATGCCATCGGTAAGTTTATGTATTGTCAGATATTTTGGCGTTTTGGGGTGGTAATGAAATTTCGGGTTGAGTCATGTGAGCAGTCACTGGAGATAAAACCCTGGAGACTAGGCAGCGGCATTGACCTCATCCGATCTCCAGATTGGCCAGCCCCGCAATCAGTGTAGATACAAGTCCCCCGACCCTAAATTCAATTACCGGGGGAAACCAGACATGCCGTCATAAACCTTCGAGCTAAGCTCCGTTTCAATCCTTTTATGACCTAAATTTCAAATTGGTTAGGTTTCCATATGAACCCCAACACTGCGAAGTTTGCTCTAGACTGAATACTAAAATCTCTGCATATCTCTTTATCTATTTTTGAAGTAAAGGGCAGACACACTCTCGTTGATCAATGGATTCCCCAAGATTAATACTCCAACTGTATTCTATCCCAACAACAGCAAGGTTTCACATATTTGTCAACCTATTAGAGATTCTGAAGATAAATGAAAGGTCAAATTTAACCGCGAATTGATGTTTGATTAATCAGGACACATGCCGGAATTACTCTCTTAGCTCCGTCGAGGTTGTGAGGTGGAAGAAGGTAAGCTTAGATTGGTTGGGTGGGGCAGTGGCCCGTGGAGTAAATCCCCGAGTCACATTCCCCCACTCCCTCCAATATCGTGAATTTTGACCCCAACAAAAGCGGAAATATTTGCACCCAATGTGCAAAGTTCAAACTAGTTCCACCATATGTCGGCCATTCAATGGTCATCACCTTAAATTGATTCCCGAGGAATTCCTTGACATTGAAAGAAATAAGTGTTATTTTCGAATACATTTGGGTGTTCAGAAGTAACGGACATAACATGGCACAGGAACAGATCCCAGCGACCATGAAGGCGCTGAGACTGATGAAGGTATTGAATTCACTCTCAATAAATTTTCATCTACATCTAACGAAATCTAGTACAACGAGAACTACCGACTTCGCAGTGACGTTCCTGTACCTACTCCTGGCCCGCGAGAGCTACTCATTCGCGTGGCTGCAGCTGGGTTTTGCCACACCGATTACCAGGTCTACCAAGGTGCATATGGAACACAATTGCCCTTCACCGGCTCGCACGAACCCGCAGGTACCATTGTGCAGCTCGGAACCAATGTTCTAGGCGATTGGAAGGTGAACGACCGCGTTGGGGTGCTCAACTTCAGAAACCCTTGCAAGCTCTGTAGTGGCTGCCGATGGCGAATGAAGACATATGGCTCCTTGGATGCACGTTACTGTGAGAAAAAGACCATGAGTGGTATTTTAGGGGCCGATGGCGGATTTGCTGAGTATATGGTCGCCTCGGACAATGCCCTCGTGCACTTGCCCGATGACTTGGCGTTTGAACAGGCAGCACCACTGATGTGTGCCGGCGTATGTGTCCTTCCGCGATGTTTAGTGAGGCTATTCTGACTCCATATCTTCGTTAGGCCACCGTATGGAATGCTATCAATGAAACCGGACTAGAGAAGGGAAAGTCGGTCGCAATTGTTGGAATCGGGGGCCTTGGCGTGCTAGCCATCCAGTTTGCCAAAGCGCGGGGCTTGCGGGTCGTTGCTATCGACAACCGCGACGTTGGTCTAAGGCTTGCATGCGAAGTACCTGCTCATCTCAGACCCGATCTTGTCGTCAACTTCAACAGCCCTAATGCCATTAAAAACATTGATGAGTTCACGGACGGCATTGGGCTGTATGGCGCTGTGGTCTGCACTGACGATGTACCAGCCGGTGACTGGTCTCTGCACCGCCTTCAACCTAGGGGTGTTTGCGTGATGCTTGGTTTACCAGAATCTGGGTTCCGATTCGATGCATTCAATCTGGTCTTTCGAGAAATCGTTGTGAAAGGATCATTGCACTGTCCTGTTCACGAAGTCAAGAATATGATTGAGGCTGTTTCTGAGAATAGGATTGTCAGCCATCTGACCGTGTTGCCCTTAGAGAAGGGAGAGGACATTCCTGAGCGAGCAGCAGCTCATTCATTCACTGGCCGACTAGTTGTCCAAGTATAAGGAATTGAATATCGTATATTTTTTTCATTAAAAAAAAGGAAAATCACCACGAAAAAATATCCGGCATTAAGAGTCGAAGCCCTCTAATCTCGGAGACACACTCACTGTGTTCTATACTGACACTGAATCAAACACCCTCGCCCCCGATCCACGTTTTCAGGACTGTTAGAGAGATTAAGATATTGTCTACCTTGCCCGAAAAAAAAAGACGAAAGCGCCTGAACCAAATGTATCGAAGGTTCAATGGAAACTTTTGGCATGGCATAAATATAGATCGTTTAATACCTTGATGTCAAGGCAGTCGAACCACGCTGTCACTATCTTTGCCCTCATTCGCAGGTATTACCATCCCAATGGTAGTCGGACCAAATGGCATGACGCTGTCCAAATTGGGTTTGTTGGAGCAACTTTTACGTAAGGACATTGAGGGATTCTTGAGAAAAAAAATATTTCCATGGCATGGAGCACAACGAGCTACGCCATAACACAAGGTACATGGAGATTTTGAAGACGCGGGGGTGAAATTCAGATGAGACCGCTTACAAATATTGTGGGAGATTCAGCCGCATCATTCTGCCTCCAACTGAGAGCCAGCAAGTAGCGGCTGGAGAAAAAAGTCCGATTTCTGGCGAATATAAACATGGTGTTACCCGCCACTAACGATCCTATCGCATTTTATAAGAGAATTTCGTGTGACTCAATCGACTTCAACCAAATCATACGTATGTCTATTTCCTTCAGTGACTGGGAATCTTGCTAACTTCCCTATCTAGAAAATGACCGCAAACCTGAAGACCGTCCCTACAAAGGAGTATGATGCGGTGATCGAGGCCGCCAATAAGTACACTGAAGGCCTCCGAATTGGTGACCCCGATATTGTCGCGCAAGCGTTTCACAAGGACGCCACCATGTACGGCTTTATCAACCCTCCCAAGCCAGACATGCTTGCCGGTCCCATCGACAATCTCTACACTTTCATTCGTGACAGCGGCAAGGCTTCCGGTATCAAGACCCGCAATGACATTCTCGCCATCACCCAAACCACCGCCGTCGTTCGCATCGACATGGAACAGGACGCTTCTGGTGCCGATTACACCGACTTCCTCACACTTATTAAGATAGACGGCCGCTGGCAGGCTATCGCCAAGGTTTTCCACAAGTATGCATAGAGCGAGTTGTGGCATCTATTCGATATCCCCGTCCCGCGTGATTGTGACTGTGGACAGGACAGCTCTTGAGATAGAATACAACATTTCCCTAAGCATTCATGTGTATGCCTTTTCAGGTCTTAGAACTGAGAGGGAGAGCATAAAAAAGAGAGAGAGGAGATAATCTTAAAGCAAAGGGTTCATTCTTATTGGTAACGTGGAGTGTACATATCACCGAATATTTTTGAGTTATCAGCTTCACTTACCCAGATGACCTGCACTGAAGCACCGTTATGACCAAGTTCCCCCATATGCCACATTGAAGGAGCGTTCTAAGTATATTGTCTTTGATTGCAGCACTTGCCAAGTTTGTGTCCAGTTCGAATCGCCGCCTCAGCGAGGCTCTATGTTCGCTTAGGAAGTCGTACAAGATAAATGTATACAGAGAGATATATTATGACAACGTTTCGTAATATAGGTGCCCGTAAGTATAGGAAGATACCGATGACTTGGAGTTCCTTTGGAATGACGCGCAGGCTTTTACCGATATTTTACCTGCAAGCTTCCTCAATACCACTCTTTCGCTGGGCGACCTCTCACAGCAATATTCTCAGTTTCCCCGTCTTGAACAGCAAACCGTGAGCCAGAGAGAAGACCAGGAATAAACGGATCATAGTGTGCGCTCGAGGGCTAAACACGCTACACGCTACGCCACCATCACCACGAATATCTTATCATCAGTCCAGGCAGCTCTTTTTTGAATTACTAGGAAACAACGATGGCCAAGACAACGCCGCGGACCACGAGACGGATCCGTCCCAAAAATCAGCGCCTCGAAGACAACCTATGTCCCACTATCTGTCCTTGGAAAATTTCGCCGTCGGATTACAAAAGGATTTCCGTAGACATACAAGACCTATTCCATATTTTGCCTGACAGCTTTTCTCTCCGTCCCATCATACCCTCTCACGCTTTTTAGAAGGATACTTCTGAGGATTCCATGATCATATGCCATATATCCACAGTCCTTCTTCTTCAGCCAGGTCACTTGGACCCGAGCTTATGCTATCCTTGGCAGCAGTGAGGGCTCTCTGTCGCTTTGAACATGCAAAGGGGTATAGGCTTTATCGAGCCGCGCGGACTCTTATCAACTGCCGTCTTGATAACGACCAGGCCTTTTCCAGATTGGCCAATACTTCTCCTGGTTATGGGGGTCTTCGAAATATGCAGGGCCAGCTCCAGAGCCGTGTCACTTCAAATGGAAATCCGGAAGCGGCTCGTAATACTATTACAGGGTCGGACAAGCCCACTTTACGCCTGTTGCAAGGGCTCTTGGTTTTAATGCTTTAACTTCCTGAGGTGATCATGCTGTAGTACGGGATTCACTTGGGATGTCCGGCCAAGCTTCTATGCTAGCCCGCGAGCTCTACATTTCCTCACAGACGCGCCCCGCCCATCAGAATCTTGGGAGAGCTGGGTCGAGCAGGAAGAACACCGAAGAATTCTTTTCGTGGCATATACATTGTTCAATCTGCAGTCTGTGGCATTCAGTGTGCCACCTATGATCCTGAACTAGGAAATCGCCCTCAACCTGCCTGCTTCGGGCGAAGAATGGAGGGCCGCTAATGCACAAGGATGGGCTCGCATGCGTTCTTCTCATGCATCAGCTCGAGACCATTCTAACAGATCTCGTGAATCCCCTCCAGGGGATCCCCGTCCACAAGCCAGACGCTATTTGTGCGTTTGGGGAACTATGTTCTGGTCCACGGCCTGGTCCAAGAAATTTTCTTTGCACGGGATACAAGCTCTCTGATGGAATCAATTGGGTCGCTACAAACAGCCTTCGTTAAGGCTATGGAGTCGGCTTTACGTTCATGACAAGAGTGCTGGGAAGCGACTTACGAACCGACGTTGGACCCCCTTTCACTTAAAGGATCAATTGGATTCAAAACAACCGCTCTTTTACGCCTGGCGTATATTCGACTCGATGCCAATACAGGACCAAACCGTGGACTTGTTAGCCAAAACCCGGTAGATGTTGCACGGATTCACTAATGGCGAAACCGCTGTCTACGACCGATATCCTCACCTTGACCGTGCTGTATTACAGTGTATACATGCTCTCAGCGTGCCAGTCCGCTTGGGCATTCCTTCTATCGCACGCACGCAAACTTTGAATTGGAGCATCCAGCACTCACTTTGTAGCCTCGAGTGTGCCTTTCTGCTAAACCACTGGCTTCAGGTGATCGCCCAAGGGATCGAATCATCAGGAATCCAAACTATACGGGACGATGAACGCAAACTCCTTAATATGTTTTTGAGGATTGTCCGTGAGGCGGATCTTATGGTGCCGTCTGATTGCGCGGATGGCGATGCAAACGCTGTCCGACGTTTAGCAGCATCTACTGTTCGACTTTGGGCAGAAACATTTAAAGGATTTCATGTGTTTGAAATATCCCACGTTGTCGAAGAGAGCCTTGCGATCGTCGCGGGTATTTTGGATGCCCAACTTGGGTCCTCCGCGTGGTGAGAGGCGGGCGTCATGCCACTTTCGTATTGAGAGCAAAAAAGAAAGGGCGCTCATATACTCCAAATGTCTGTCGGCTCCATTCATCGCATCGCTTCCTTCTATTGACACCCATGATTTTTTAGTGTGATAACAACTGAAGCGTGATCATCATACAGTTATCTTCGAAATCGACTTGACCAATACAAACTGAATATTTCTGTTTTGGACCCACCGCCAAGGCCTTAGCGCGGATAAAATGTCGAGCAAGCCGCATCAAAAATTGATGGCCAAGAGGAAAATGCTTTAGTATGGTATGCTGCCACGTGTAATTACAACGTGTAAATACATTCTACTCTTTGACCGTTGACAAGTCAAATTTAACATTCACTGTACTATAGGGCGGCTGACATAATACTGCGATCCTCCCCTTGAGGCGGCTTGCTCAATAAATTATCTGCGCTGAAACCTTGGCGGCAGGGCCAAGGAAGAGTTAATCTGTGTGTATCGGTCAAGCCAATTTCGGGAATGACTATAGCTGCTGTCATTCTGATAAGGCTTGTCGCTTCCCATCCTTTGTACTGGGCATTCACATTCGGAAGCCACCGGAATAGGCGAGGCCAGTTTACATCAAAAAGTTATATATAAAAAAAGAAACTTGGGAGGTAGGGGGAGCATGAGAGCTTTTGAAAAGCATCCTCGATGTGTTCCAGACGTTGAGAAATACGGTGTCTTTCAGAAAGAAGTGCGGTCGTGCGGAAACATGGTCCCTCATCACGTGCGCCGTCGCTAGCTTGACAGGCCCGAGCGGTCCCAAGCGGTCCTTCCTTCTGAGAATTCATCATTATTAAATTTCCATGTACTGTACCTATCATGGTCCGAGGGAGACCCAAAATCTCCGTGCCTCCGTGCCGATTTTGTCACATGACTTTTAAAAGGGTGGAACATTTAAAGAGACATGAACGCATCCGTGAGTTGGACCGCTATTCCTGCAATCGACACGGCACTTTATCCTTACAGGCTGCAGATACACAAGAAAAACCATTCCTTTGCGACTGTGGACAAGGGTTCTCTAGAAAGTATATGCGCATTGTTTTCTGTCTGGTATTGAATTTCCCTCTCTTACAATGGCCAGGGACCTTCTTATGCGCCACCATAAGCTCAGCAATCATGAATTGCCCTTGGAGAAGACTACGATTCATACCAGCGAGGCGGACCTCTCCATGGCTGTAGAGAGGCAAGAAATACTCATGAGTCACTCACACGCCCTATATCTGACTAGTGGGAGCCAAAAACAGATCTCCAGCGCAAAATAACGCCGACTTATCGCATTTACCCTCGCTCGTGCAGGATCTTGAGCCTGCAGAGCAACATCCAGCCCTCTCCGCCGCCACTGTATCTGAAAGCGCTCTTGATCCTTCTCCATCTACGGAGCTCCTTCAACAAGAGACCTCCATAGGCCTCGATTTCGACTCTACGTACGAGTTTGAGTTGCTGTGGAACAACAGCAGTGACACGACTGACTTTCTGCCGACAAGTTTCTTTGATACGGATTATTCACTTTCTCACATTTGGCACCCTGATAATCTGCGGATCCACAGCTCAATACCCCCTCCTCCGGTCGACTACGGCAATGATGGTTCGCCCGCTATGGATTTGCAGGGCCCTCCCCCCTTTGGTTCGCTGTCATCTCGGCTACCGCCTTTAGAGCCAGATTCTTTATCATCGCGGAATGAGAGACTTCCCCACAACGAGTTAGACTCCCCAACTGATTTCGACCCTTCTGCGGACTCAAAAACCGGCTTCCCATGGAACCTTCCTGTGGTCACATATGAAAGACTGTCTACCGCCATTCAGTCTCACGAGAAAATATTGCCTCCAGAATTTTCCATCCCATCGAGGCATACAATGTCCCGTTATATCGAGGGCTATTTTCGAAGCTTCCATGAGCATTTCCCGTTCCTGCATCCCCCAACGATCAAAATTGATATCTTGGCACCGGAGCTTCTGTTGGCAATGGTTGGGATCGGAGCATTTTGCCGGGTAGAGAAGGGAAAGGGGTATGAGCTTTACCTGGCCTCCAAAGCAATTTTCACACATCGTCTTGAACAGCATACCCGCATGGGCGTGGTAAACATTGCAAGCAGCTCAGCCAGTGGTGATAAAGTGGGGTTCCATGCATTAAACTCCCTGAACGTGGAAGGTGGAGTGGAGAATAGCGGGTGCCGTGTCGGTCCAGATGCATATTCGTCTCCGCACTCACTGCAGACACTACAAACACTCATAATACTGATGGCAATGGCAGCTTGGGCAGATATTCCAGCCGTGCGTGATGCCTTGGCAATGAGTAGCCAGTTTGCGATGCTTACCCGGGAAGCTGGACTGTCTCAGCCGGACGAAATTATTGGGCGGTGCCCTTGGATGGATTGGATCCTTCGAGAAGAACGCCGACGGACCCTTTTCGTGTCCTATATTCTCTTGAATCTTACCAGCATTACTTTCGATGTACCTCCACTTCTCGTGAATAGCGAAATTCGACTTTCGCTCGCCCACTGTAACACAGAGTGGGTAAAAGTGTCGGCAATCGAATGGCAGCACACCAGAGAAACATGCGGCCACAATGAGCGCCAGTTTCAGTCCACTTTAAAAGAAATGCTTGCCGGACGGGACGTGCATCATGAAGAGCCTCTTTCTGCGCTTGGAAACTATGCATTGATAAATGCCATAATCCAAAACATCTATTTCGAACGGCAAGCTGCAACTGAACACACCCTGCGTCCGGATGTGTTGAAGAAGTATGAAAGTGCTCTTCAAGTCTGGCAAAGATCCTGGGAAGCCACGCAGGAAACTTCACTGGACCCCTCTTCTCCAAGTGGGCCTCTTGGATTTAACTCAGCAGCCTTGCTCAGACTCGCATATCTCCGTCTGAACGCAAACCTCGGGCCCTGTCGTAACCTAATATCACAAGATCCGAAATACATCGCGCAGTCTATCATAGGAGATATCTCTCCATTATTCACGCGTTCTCTTCACGTTGATCGGGCCATACTGCAGTGCATTCACGCCCTTAGTATTCCAATTCGAATCGGTGTTCCCTTCGTCGCTTATACGCAGTCTGTGAACGAGAGCATACAACACCCTCTCTGCTCACTAGAATGCGCGATTTTACTCAGTCGGTGGTTAGGGATGATCTCAGATGCCGTACACATCACGGGGCTGGACTCTCTTCGAGAAGATGAAAGAAAGTTACTTGGTATGATTGCAAGCCTGATTAAGGAAACGGACATGGCAAGTACGCTAGATAAGAATGACACAGACAGCCACTGTATCCGTCGCATGGCTGCGAGTGTAGTCCGATTGTGGGCTGCGACCTTTCGAGGGATACATGTCTTCGAGGTTGTTCGAGTCATTGGCGAGACGCTTTCGACACTGGCTGATATCCTCGAAGGGAATCTCAGGCAATAATGCGTGGGGTAAAATTATAACTGCTTCAGTCTCCCATCAAATAAACTAATACCATCAAGTATGCAACTATCGAAATTTCGGAATTGATCTTTCTTTTTCCATTTCTTTACGGTGTTTTTTACCCCATCTGCTGTGGATACTGAGGTTTGGAGCAGATAGAAAACTTCGAATCGGAGTCCGCCCCCACTTTAAAAGCCCAGGATCTCGGCAAAATTTCAAAGCAACCCCCAAGCTCAACATTGCTAGCTCAAGTTCCCGTGGGATGATCTTGCGGCAAACTCTACTCAAGATTTGCACCCTGTAACGCTTAAGGAGCTCAGCGATACGATGGCGTCACATCGTCACGACGCAAATGGTGGAGCGAGGCTGTCATACCAATCTATCCCTCCATCCCCAACGATTCAGGCATCATTGAAAGCTTCCGTCTATTGCATCTCTCGGCGTGGATCCCATTTGGGTCTCTCCACACTACGCATCTCTCCAGCATGACATAGGTTACGATGTTTCAAACATACATCTACCTTATGGAACGCTTGATCAGACACAAAAGCTCGTCCACGCATGCCATAAGCACAACTTGAAGATCAGATCTAGTCTTCAACCATACCTGAGCCGAGCATCGATTTCAAAGAATCTCGGTCATCGGAATCGAACGCGGAACGGGGATAATACCACTGGATGCCACCTAGAGAATGGAAAGACGGTGTTCCATTGCCCCCCAATGTCTGGCAGAGTGGCTTTAGCGGTTCGGCCTAGGAATTCGATTAGGGCTTAAAGACATTTACCTTCACCTATACGCCACCTCCGTGCCCCGACCCAAATTAGCACAGTGCGGTAGCATTCAGGCTATATTCGATATAAGTAATTATCTTTGGCTAAAGCGTGGTGTTAGCGGCTTTGAGACATCCTGAGCATGTAATACGAATTCCCGTCAAGACAAAGTCTTAAGGCTGTCAACGTGCTGGTAAATCATAATGCACAATCACCACATCCACCACG